TCGAAGATGATCGGTCGTTATCGGTCGTTATCTGTTGAACACCAATCAACCCCCCGATGACCACAGAATCAACGGATATTGGACGATGCTCGGCCATATACATCGGCCAATCCTTGAAAGATGTGTTAATGATGGGTTGCCGATGAGGAGCGATGAGGGGCATCGTTGGAGGCATCGCTGAATTTTAACTACGAATTATTTCCTACCGATTTCACCGATTCGCAAAAAAGACTCAGTCACCGTCCAATCACTAGTGGTGCCCGGCCGGCAACCACGCCATTTTCATCAAAAAACGCATCGGTTTCTCATCGTTTACCCCATCGTTGGATAATGTGACTTATACTTAAATTAACTTATATTCTACCGATGACCCTCACCAATTCGACAAAAGGCCACAGTCACCGTCCGATTACTATAGGTGTCCGGCCGGTGTAACTACCCCCCGTATATAAGGGGGTCATTGTTCTACCTTTTCCTGTATATACAAGTAAGGTCATATTTCGCCATTCCTGACCAGTTATTCTAAGACTCCACACATGTTGAAAAATGACCCCCATAGAAATTTGCCCCCCTAGTTTTTTATACAACAGAACCTTATATCTGTGTCTCTTGATTTTTATTTTTTACATTTTCGAATGTAAGGAGGGGGAATTTTTTTTATGTACTTTACTCCTTTCCAACATACTAGTATATTTAATTTGATCGTATATCTTAATAGCAGCATTGTAATCAATGTATCTGGTATGTATGTTTTCTTTTTTGGCTTGTAGAATCCCAGTGGATATTAAATCATTGAGAAGGATAAATTTATGGATTATATTTTTGGGTGTTTTTTATAATTCAAAGGATATGTTTCTGATAACCATAAACTTGTAGGGAGGCCCCCCGAAATTAGCGCTTTTAACCATTTGAATTCATTTTTGGATCTGAATACATTTCCTTTGTCGAATATGAAAAAAACTTCCATACTCATGATTGGTTTTCTTAATTTTTCATTGAAAATGACAGTATAAAATACAGTTTTTCATCTGATTTACCTACAAATCATGCCCCAAAACACTTATTTGTTCAAGCTAAAGTTGTAAAGCATCAATATAGGAATTTATTTCTCAAATTTGATAAATCTGTAGGCACCTTTCATTTACTAGATCTTGACCTTAAATATATCTGTATGCATTTTGCTTTAAAATACATACTTTTTAACTACCTTATATAAGGTACTATACCTTTTCCTGTATGTACGGGAAATGCCATTCACATCGAGAACGTTCTTATAATGATATAAAAAAAAATTTACATCTGAGTGAATAATAGTTCAACCTTCACCGATATATATTTAATTCATTTAAAAAACTTCCTTTTTCAACACAAGCAGAACTATATACCCCTGATACTTCGTTTACGGGGCCATAAATATAATATGTAAACTGACAACTTTTTCATAATCCATGTCAATAAATCCCATCCGGTTTTTCAAAGCGATGGAGTCAATAAAAGTGTAATTGATGCAAATCATGATCACCCATATTCCCCAAACACTGGCAAGACAATTTACGGCAGCAGATTTCAGGGGGCGGATCCTAGGTTTTCAGCTTTATTAGTTAAAGAAAAATAAACTTGATACATTCCGCCATTTATTTCAATCATTGATATTTTTACCTTAAAATGAAAATATTTACATAGCCAATCAGGTAACGTACGCGTCTACCCATTTAGTACTCTTCTCCATCTTCCGGGAATTTGCCATTAGTACCCTTTTTCTATGGAACGCCAAATTAACATATATTCAAATATTTGTACCTATCTTCAAATAATTGCACCTATCTTCAATTGACTTAAAGATAGGTGCAGTTGAATTAAAGAAAGGTACAACTGAATTGAAGATAGGTGTAAATAATTATACCTATCTCTAAATAATTATACCAAGGTACAAATGAATTATACATATCATTAATTGAATTACATCTATTCAATTAAAGATAAGTTCAAATGAATTATACCTATCTATAATTAATTTGAAGATAGGTATACTTGATTTAAAGATAGGTACAATTGATTTAAAGATAGATACAATTAAGACATATCCACAAAGGATTTGAAGATAGGTACAATTCAATTATACCTAGGTTCAATTCGTTTTGTGTTGTTGAAAATAATGAACGTTCCCTTGGAGACAGTATTGAACATGGAAGGAATCTCACAGAACATACAGGGCGACAACAACGAGGATGAAAGGAGAAATAAAGATAAATTCAAAATGTGTAAAAAGCATGATTTACTTATTGAAATGAACGTGTATATCAATAAGTGAGCGTAAAACATATACCGGAAATGACGTATGATAAAGGGAGTAGTTCTTATTGCCAATATCTAAATTAGTAATTAAAGATAGTTCAATTTAATTGTACCTATCTTTAAATCAATTATACCTATCTTCAATTCACTGCATTTGTACCTATCTTCAAATAAATTGTACCTGTCTTCAAATGAATTAAAGATAGGTATAATTGAATTGTATCTATCTCTAATTCATTTGAAGTTAGGTACAATTGATTTAAAGATAGGTACAATTCATTTGAAGGTAGGTACAATTATTTGAATATATGTTAATTTGGCATTCCATATTTTTCCTGTAATTCGACGCGGTACTTCCACAACTACCAAGTTCATCGTACCCGATGTTAATTTATACTTAGAAAAAAAATTGATATGGAAATACGTAAAAATTTGAAAGGCAGCTTATTTTTACTGAAGAATTAGTTTACTATAATTAATTTAACTTTCTTTTTCTTTTACTTTTTTAACAGCATATGATTTAGATGGACCCCCCTCCCAAAAAAGAGTAATAATTAGTATTCTACCTATGTTTTAAACCCACTAAAACTTAAGATCCCTCCCTCAAAACTGCTGACATTAATGCCTCGTGCATATCTCCCAGGGGAAGAATCACAGTTTAATGTTAATTCTGCTTTTACTGAGTTCGCTCTCCGGATTAAATGCGTAGGTTTTCTTGGCATGCCAACATTTTTTTTGTGTGTGTTTGTTTTTGGGTTTTTTGGGGGGTTAAAAAACTCCAAAAATCATCACATTTAAGTACATGTAGGGAGGGGAAAAACGATACTACATGTACCAATCTTTGATAAGACGAGCACTTCTTTTTCTTTGTTTAGTCAATCATTTTTTATGCTACAACCTCTATTTTGTTAAGGATTTGTTGACACTAGCAAACGACAAAAGAAATTTCCTGGGTTTGGAGCTAACCACTTTTGTTTTCCTTAATATCATAGGTCAGAGGCAATTTAATTTAGTAACTATTTTTACAAATGAAATCATCCTTATTTTTTATGAGAAAATTGAAACTTCATTCATAGAAAAACAAATATTTTCATAAGATCTAATTTTCTGAGCAAGCGCCCCTTTTTGCGCCAGTTTTAAAAGTAGCGATCAAAATTCAAAAACGTTAAACTTTTGAAAAATAAAGCTTTATTTCGGTTTTTGCAAATTATTTATCCAGGATAAAATCAAAGAGATACACATTTATGAAAACTTTTTAAAAAGTTTTCTTTTCTGACACCAGCTAGAAAATGACCTTTCTTAAAGATTAAAATGACAACTGTGGAAACTTTTAAGACATAAACAAATCTATGAATGCACATATCTTTACTTTAATAGCCTTAAAACATTTTAATAGATACTGTTTTCCTTTCATGGCGATAAAACGGGTTGTATTATTAATGTAAGGTATAATATAGCTTTAATTTTGTTATTAAAGCTTAAAAGCTTTCAGAAAGAACACTCCATATCATAAGGCTGCTTGATATATTACCCGTATGCATTCGCCTAACAAAAGTATTCATACCAAAACGAATGTCTTTGCATAAAAAAATGACAAGAGGTCATTATTCTACGGGGTCATTCTTCTACAATGCACACGGAGAAAAACGATCCCAAGCCCATAATTTCTACAAAAAAGTGGGTCATTTTTCTGCGTAGAATATTTACCGGGGGTCAAATTTCTACGTAGATAAATGACCCCCGGTCAATATTCTACGGGGGTCACTTTTCGTCGTTACACCGGCAACCACACCATTTTTCTAAAAAAAAAAAAACGTATCGGTTTCTCATCGTATACCCCACCGCCGGATAATGTGACTGATACTTAAGGCATAAACTGTCAACAGTAAACGTCAGTGCCTCTCGCAAAAGTCCCATGGAAATGTTTTTTTTTTAAATGCTAAACTCTAAGGTCTAGGTTAAGAGATCACAAATGTTGTTACTTAAAGGAAGGATTTTTTAATATACTTAATAAATATAACTGTCAGTAGAATGTGGAAACCTAAGCACCAACCGTTAAAAAAGTTATGGCCATTTTTTTAAAGTGCCATGGAGGAGTTAGCATCCCCTACACACCGGTTATAATCGCCGTGAGTTCCGTGAGTTCCTTGTCATGATAGGAAAATAACGAAAAATCCGTCAAAACTTCCATGTGTAAATAATGGTCTAACAATTAGTATGAAAAACGTCAGGCAGCATCGACTTAATGATAAATTGTATATTTCCAGCATAAATTGTATATGCTGGAAAAATTATTGTACTGGCCATAGAACTGACTTATACGAAATGATGACAATCAGTATGTTGATATTTTTTGTTTTTAATTATCAACTTGTTTGTCAACACTTACCTCGTTTTAGAATATTTTATACGTTAAGCATGCTCTAGCGTATTGAATTGAGAGAGATAAAAGCCCTATATACAGATGATAAGGGCATATTGCTACACAAGTAAAGGAAGTTGAAGATTGAAAAGTTGAAGTCATCACCCTTATCATAAATCTTTGTTGCAATGTTAGTTTACCATTATCATCTTTTTTCTAGTAAAATACCAAATATATATTAAACTCCACGAGTCCACGGCTATGATAGACCTCTTTACTTTTCTTTTTTAAAATCATTTTCACACATTTAAGACAAAAGTTTTAATTTTCGTATTATTTTCAGCAATGCGGTGTAGAACAGGTTGTTTCTAGAGCTGGTGTTGTAACATATAATGTTGGCTGCCTTTCAACAAGCGTAAGAATAGTTTTTTTTAAAAAATTCATTTCAGTAAGTGTTCATGAAATATAGTTGCACATTTCTTTAAGGAATAACTGTCTAATTTTTTGGTTTCATGATGTGATCAATCGAATGGCTTGCGTGATGATTAACGTATCTTAACGAATAAAATTATAATGCAATCCAATCGATTGATCATCGTCATGAAGTCAAAAACTCTGAAGTTAACATTCTCTTGATTCCGAAAATCACGTGCTACATGCCCCGCTTATTTCTCTCTATTTGTCCTGCCCTGCACGTGAATTTTTCTAACCACGCCTTTCGATGAACCAATACATTTATGTAGAAATACTTACATTTCCTATATTTTTGTCCGAGATAAATTTACAATGTGTTAATATACTTTATTTCTAAATAATGCACTGTTCAACGGTAGGCGCGTTTAAAAAAATCACGTGCAGGTCGGGACAAAAAGAGACCAGAAGCGGGTCTTGTAGCACGTGGATCGGCGGGATCAAGAGCATGTAAACTGTCAGATTTTTTTTATTTGATAACGATGATCAATCGATTGGCTTGCGAGATAATTTTATGCATAAACGCCTTCAGATTGATTGATCACATCATGAAATAAAAAATTAGACAGTTATATGTATTCCTTAAATAAAGTACATTTACTGTTTGTAATTTTCTCAGGGACAAAGACATTGGAAATGTAAATATTTGGGAAATAAACCTCTCGGTTAGTTTAAATTTAGCAAGTGTACTTCAGTCCTCTGCCTCCTCTTTTGTAATATCCCATTAGGTTTGTGCTGAACCTGGTAAAAGAGGTGCATCCCGTGTGTCTGCAAGATCAATGTTTGGAACCGATTCCGGGATTGTAACGTGTCAGCAGTGCTGTAATGGTACAGACCTTTGTAACAGCCAAGGTTGTGGGCAATCAGGTCAGGTCTTCCTTCTTCACCTTTACTTGAACAACAGTGTGTGTTGTAACTGTGTTGTACTGTATTTCTTTTATATCAGCCTGTTTGTCCTCCACTTCGACCTTAGCTGCAACTTTTTACCTCATACACCTATGGAAAGGACATTTTCGCCCGTAATTAAACATAGTAAATAGTGTTCCAAGAAATTATTGCGAATGTTTTTTTTTTTCATTTTTATGATACATTTATCTGAAAAAAAACTTCAGACTCCTGTGTTTCATTTTCATCTTCTTCTCAAGAACCACTGGGCCAATTTCAATAGCTTAGATTCAAGTCTGTTCAAATGATGACACCTTGGCATAGGGTGGGGCCGCAATGGAGTGAAAGATTAACATAGGAATACAAGTAACAGCTTTTCAAAAAGCTTGCCTGACGTAATCAATCAATATCTGTGAGAGAAGTGATAAACCTTTTTTAGCAATACTCTTTTGTGCTGTCTTTTTATTTGAGAACCTTGTAAAAATATTTAATTATTTAACTTGTAACAGAACGATGTCTTTGTTGCAGCAGCCAGTGACAATGTTTTTTACTTACCTGAAAAAGTTGACAAGCAAAAAAGAAATCAGATTTTTTATAATATAAGTAAGGTTAGGAAAAAAAGGGGGGCAGTCCCCCCCCCCCGTTGCTACGCCCCTGTGCATTCTGAAGAGTTGATAGCAGAATGGTTAATGTATGTGGGTTTCCTGCCAATCGCAACTCCTCGGTCCCACTCCTAGGCCCTTAACTAGGGAAGGAGACCACAAATGTTTTGTTAATTTATACGCCATGACACCCCCCCTTTTCACAAACTTTGAAATAAAAGCATGGATGATGTATATAGACCTTTTTTCTGTGGAATATGGAGTTACCTTTATTCAATGTAATGATATTATCTAAGATATACTACTTCTAACTCCGTTTTTTTTACTATGAACTTGAAATGTATACATTTTTAAGGTATTCGATGTATAACGAGGGGGCTTTGAACGATTTTAAATAATTTTAAACTAGTTAAAAACGCATTGCTAGATAACAATAAAAGTGACATAAACCAAATTCACAAGACTGATGACATGTAACATTTTGCACATTAAAAGTTTTTTTTAAGAGTTATCTGCCCTTGGGCAAAAGAAGAAAGTTCAAGATTTCTCAAAATTTGTGCGGTAAATAATTCATTTGATTTGATATTTGAATAAAGAGAGAGTTAATGCATATTTTCACCAAGAGATTTTTTTTTTAAATTCAAATTACTTTTTAAAATATCTTATAAAAACCTGCGCTGCCCATAGACTTCAATGCAAAATTCAAGTGTGTAATGAAAATTGTGTAAATTCTTTTGGTGGAGCATTTTTATTTGATAACATCTTCAAAATGCTACCATGGTTAGGAATATCGGGCCATTCATTTATTAGGTACAAAATATGGTCGTTATATACATGTACATCGAATACCGTAACATCCGATGATGTCAATACATGGGAGTTTGTTTGTTGACCTCTGACGAAAAGACCCGAGATGATGCGATTGACTTTTCTGTAAGTAGATTAATCTACCCCTGGATCTAAATTTAAAACTACACTTTTTTCTGAAATTTGTCGTCAAATCATTCATTGTGAACATTTTAGAGAATGGATATAACTAAATACATATGTTGTAGGAAAGCATTTTCTCCAATGAAGTAAACAGTACTAGTTTGTGTTCATTGTTCTTGAAACGTGGGTACTATAATTTTCGAGGATGAAATAGGTAAAACCAACATTTACGCCTTTGTGGAAAAGAAATCCAAGATTTCGAACAAGTAATTTCTTTCGTCAAATCGTCTGAACCTGGTTGAAATGCGTCGGTCGTTTGTGGTGATTGGACTAGTCCATTAAAATATGGAATAAAACAACGGAGGGGAAACAAGTTAGTGAATTTCAAATCATTTCATTTGTTTTGCATGTCCATATTCTGATACATACGATTCATATTTTGTTTTAAGGAATAAGATATAAGTTGTATATAGAATTTCTGAAACATAGGGAGATGGAGGTTACAATAACAAACTTTATTTAATTCCAGGGAAGTTAGCACCCCCATTCATACAATAGAACAATCCCAAGAAAAGGCGCGAAGATCGCTTACTCGTGACATTTGGCGCGAAAAGAGCGATTTACCCCTTTTTTAGAACATAAATAGACTGATCTAGTAGTATAGAAACGCAGAAAAAAAGATACACGGACACGTTGAAACGGTACATCACATGGAATAATCTGTTTCATGCAAACAGAGTAAACAAGGTAAATACTGCATTATTTTGCATCAGTAAAATCATTGTTTCCCTGAAGAAAAGTTTCTTTTAAAATGCAGGTAAAAGATTTCCAATGTAAATCAGCTTGCACAAAATCTAGCTCTCTGGGTATGATCTATTAGTTTCGGATCAAGCAATTATCAATCCTTATACAGCCTGACGCCGTGACGTCAGGCAACAAATGATTTTTTTAAAATCTTCATCTCAAGAATCACTGGGCAAGGAAAGATGAAACTCATATGAAAGCATCCCCAGGTAGTGTTTGTTTAAATCACGACTCCCTAAGGAGGTAGATTGGGAAAAAATCTTTAAGGATCTTCTTTTCAAGAACCACTGGGACAGGAAAGATGGAACTCATGTGGAAGCATCCAGTGATAGTGTACATTCAAGTTTGTTCAAATCATAACCTCGGGTGGTAGGGTGGGGCCACAATGGGGGATCAAAGTTTAAAATAGGAATACATACGAAAAATCTTCAAAAGTCTTCTTCTCAAGAACATTAAAGTAATGATTGGTCATAGTCATATGAAAGCATCCTCAGGTAGTGTAGATTCAAGTTTGTTCAAGTCATGACCCCAGGGTGTTGGGTTAGGCCACAATGGTTTACCAAAGTTTAATTAAGAATACATAGGAAAAATCTTTTAATTTTTTTTCTCAAGAACAGCAAATTGGTCATAGTTATATTGAAGCATCCTGTTGTAGTGTAGATTCATGTTTGTTCAAATCATCACCCCTTGGCCAAGGGTTGGTCCATAATGGGTGATCAAAGTTTGAAGAAGGATTACATAGAAAAATCTTTAAAACTCTTCTTCTTTTTAACAGCAAAGCTGTGGTTTTTCATATTTTTATGGAAGCATCCTCGATAGTGTAGATTCAAGTTTATTCAAGTCATGACTCCCAGGGGAAGAGTGGGACCACAATGGATGATCAAGGTTTTACGTAGGAATGCGTAAGAAAAAACGTTAAAATTCTTCACAAGAACAACAAACCCATGATCGGTCATCAATATAAATTATAAAAGCATCAAAAAGGTAATGAAGATTTAAATTTGTTCAAATTATGACCAAATGTAGAGGAGTCATTTAAGTTGATCATAGTTATACAAAGGAATATAAAGGCTACCGGGTATATCAATAAAAATTTTCATCATATTATTATTAACAGCAAAGCCATTATGTATCATACATGTATTAATTTAAAATCATCCGTAGAAAGGATAGATTTAAGTTTGTTCAAATACCCCCTCGCCTTAACCCACTTTACATTTATTTCAAGCGCAGATCTAAAGGAGAATGAAGGGGGGGGGGGTCTGGACCCCCTCCCTGGAATTTGCAGAGATATTAAATTGATACACAAAACCAAGTAAAAAGTGACCTTGCCCCCTCTCAGGAAACGGAGAACCAGACCCTCTTCAAAAACGCGGACGTGTGTTAAGTTGGTATGAAAAGTATTAGGTATAAAGCATTAGAAGTCAAAAGTCAACCACTAACCCCCGCCCCCTACCCCACCCTCCCCCACCCCACGAGGTAGGATTTTCACTTTTGGGCATGTTTAGGTTTGTTTGTTTGTTTGTTTGTTTGTTTTTTTGTCAACAAATTTCTGTCAACCACTACCCCAACCCAACGAAAAAGGATTTTCACGTTTGGGCACGTTTAGATTTTTTTTGTTTTGTTTTGTTGATTTTTTTTTTTTTTTTTTTTTTGCTTGTCAACAAATTTCTAAGTTGAATTATCTTTTGACTGAGCGAAGTGGCCCCTGGGCCTGTTGTTCAATATTTTGTCGCACTTGGAGCAGCAGTTAATCAAAGTACTCAGAAGTACAGAGAGCCGGGCTCATTTACAGAGTAAAATGAATTTCTTACATGAATCATACGTTTATATTGTACTAACAGATAAATGACAAGAATATCAGATTAAAAATTCTGATGAAAAAAATATTTTAAAACTAGCAATATAAATTATAAGACACTGACAGTGAGTTTTCCATCCAAATACCACGGTCCGATTTTGTCAGAATCAAAATTAATCTGGTACTACGGCTGAATGTAAACAAACAGGCCAGTCTGGTTCCCTTTCCTGTTTTTCCTCGTTAATGTAGAGAACTACGATAACGCTGATTATCAGAAATCCTTACGCTAATAAAGTATGTTCTTTGACTTAAGACTGAAGTTTCCAAAGTCATTACTACTAAATAGTACTAATGCTTATTTATTTAGATAAAACTCGTTTTATTTATGTTGCTTTATTTAGCGTTTGTATTATCTCAGAAGCGGTTGAGAGTAAGAACCATATTTTTACATGTAACTTTAAAATGGCGACTATGGGGTTGACATCCTGTCTTGAACAGGATGACATAAGCCGGCAATTGCTCTTTGAGCAATAAGCCCGGCTAAAAATGGAATACTCAGTGTTTCGGCAGTATCGCTAGTTTTGCAATTCTTTAATAATAATCATCTAAAAAAGGGTTTCTATTATTAAAAGTTTTTATTTTGAACGTAAATTAGCGACTGGAAGTATACACAGAACACGTTAAGTTTTTTTACTCAAGCCCTAGAGGGGCTTGAGTTAATATCTAAAATGATGCTAGGTCATCGATTTACTCAGTTTAAATACACAAAAAGATATTATTTTTGTACATAAAATATTTCTAGAAACAAAAATGAAGCTTATCTTGAAAAAGGCTGTATATAAAGCGTTAAATGTCGGATTCTATTCTATGGCGAATGAATAAGGAGTGAAGGAGCTTCACTTCTTATTCATTCGCCATATAATGAGCAGCCGCAACAGTTTCTATACAGAGATTTCGCGCTTTCCTTTGCGTAGGAATCTCAGGTAACTTTTATAATCGCCTACAAAGCATCATTGGACGAGTTCACTGTTTACTCTGAAAGGCGAAGCAGGTTACCCATCGTTAAAGCCGCTTGGTCCGATTCTAATCGCTAAAAAAATATATTCGTTTTTCTTCTTGAAAAATAATTGTCCATAAATTATTTCAACTTTTGTCAAATTATATCCCCAAAGTCTTTTCCTTTTTAAAGATATCAAAATTCAAAAGTTAAAAAAATAATTTTGTTAGGTCACATAAAAAATAATCCTTTGTTTACATTGCGTGAAATCACCTTCGAAAAATTAAATTTATCGCTTACATGTATAACTCATGTAGAACAAACCCGAGCATTTTTTCTGCAACAAAGTGTACACGGGCAATGTACTAGCCCTCAATAAATCTTTAAAAATATCTGATTTTCCTTTATTCTGTAAATATGCATATTAATATAAAAATTACTATGGACTATATTAGTTAATTTCTTAATTTTTAAAAGATATATCATGACTTAGGATATTACAAATGGGAAAAAAAAATACTCGGGTTTGGATTCTCTTCATAATTAGATATAACCGATAAAAGTATTTTTACAAAGGTGACTTCAAAACAGATCTTAACTTACCGTCAGGAACTGCTGTTTGTCAACAAGGTTTTTGGTCTATGTTTTCCATGTAAAGATTGTTGTAATAAACTATTAATCAATCTTATAATTAATTTTTATATATTATCTACGTAATGACATACTTTTATTGTTTAAGATAATATGTGCCTGTTTCGGATGAAGCGGCTTTAACAAATTCTACTATACATGGCCAGAAAATGTATGGTTGTACCCCCATTCTGAAATTGCTTCTCACGAGCCTGAGAATGATTTGCATGTGCACTTTGAGTGACAGTGATTTGATTTGAACATAAAATGAGTGACAGTAAATTAATAGCACAAAATTAATCTTAAGCTCTCCCTCATATGTTTTTTTAATTCTAAAAAATCGTACTAAAAATCTTCAGCTTTGGTAACGAAACCTATATAACTTCTTTTGGATTCGTATGGAATATGTATTAGACATGCCGTACAGCTAGATGAACACGTAGTCATATGGATTTTTTGGTGCCCTTAGCCCCCCCCCCCCTTCTTCCTATCCACTTTGAAAAACGTTTCTATCTGTAGGCTTGTAACGAGCTATTTGGATTGATGTATTATTAAATGTTGTGATGTACCCATATATATATATATATATATATATATATATATATATATATATATGTATATATATATATATATATATATATATATATATATATATATATATATATATATATATATATATATATATATACTTTACTTTTTAAGATGAATTTACGTTACTCACTTTCAGGAACATTTTATGGAGCATAGTGGCCGTTTCTTAATTTGATGAAATATTTTTTTTATGTTGATATACTTCAATATATATATATATATATATATATATATATATATATATATATATATATATATATATATATATATATATATATATATATATATATATACTCCCCGTCAATGAAAACGCAACACTCTAATTTTAGGGTGAAAAGTATACACGGGTTATAACTACGTACCAAAAAAGGTAGGACATCTTTTACTTTGCCAAATCAGTTATTTAACGGTTGAATAAATTTCTTTTCTCTACCGGAAGTTGCTTTTTAGCCCTCTTAATAGAAATCAATTTTTTGAATTTTTAATAAAATCTTTAACAATATTTTGGGTTTTCAAGATTTTGTAGCTGTTTATCATAAGTAATGTACTAAAAGTCCGGGAAAAAAATACTTCTTTCTTTACCGGATGTGATGCCTATATTTCTTAAAAATGACTGATTTTCATTGCTAATGGTGGAGATTCTCAAAATAAAGAAAAAAGAGATGCAGATGCAAATGAGCACTATTTAAACACTCTTCAGGCTCATGTGTTTCAATAGCATAAATAACAGTTTCTTGACCGGAAGTCCAAGAGTTAATACACTACGCCAAATTAGAGAAAATTCGACCGCTGTGTCTGAACAACGGGCAATTAAAAATGCCCGAGAATATTTATTTCGCTCAGATAAAGACATAAATAAACCTAAGACATGGTAGAAATTGGACTGCGTACATTAATATTGTACATGGCGGACTAGCATGTTTTGATAAAATTGTCGGAAGGGGGGATGTTTTATTTCAATGTTATCTGTTCAGAGGGCTAAAAAAAGCAACTTACGGAAATGGTTTAAAAAACCATTCAACCATTAAATAACTAATTTGGCAAAGTAAAAGATTCCTAACTTGTTTGGTACATATTTATATCCCGTATATAATTTTTCAACCTAAAAGTAGAGTGTTGCGTTTTCATTGGCGGGGAGTATATATATATATATATATATATAAAGCACTAAAAATGACCAACGACACGAACAATAAAAATTGTCAAATTTTCGGGACGCCCTGTCCCTTCCTCAGGACAAAGAAAAAAGTTAAAAAGTCATAAGAACGAAGAAAAAAGAGAAATAAAAACAACTAGCACTACTACTAAACTACTAAACACTAGATATTTACATACTTAATTACATGTTGAATTGGAAATTTTTAAGAACACTAATAAAGAAATAAATCCGGATGCTATGAAATGCGTCCATATATATATATATATTTACATAATTGAACGAATTAATTATGCTAATTAATTACGACAATCAGTAAATCGTACATTGTTTCATTCTCTCAAAATGGCGTAACTTTACTTAATAAAGACATAAATATATAGCATATATTTAAACATATAATATGATCCATTATAAATTTTGAAATATTTAAGGATTTATTACCGGGAAAAAATAATTAACAAAGGCGTATATATTTACATATATATATATATATATATATTATATATAATACCATTAGGGCGGAATGACTTCAATCTGTGCATCCAGAACTTTTCTTTGCTTTTTCTCTGAGCATCTGTCCATCTTGGGTTATGGTCAATCACCACTACTGTCATGAGATACAGACGCCCTAGGAACCTAAAGGACATGGTAGTAAGAACCAGACTGGACAACCCATTACCTAACGGGGGCTTTAAGACTTGCTCTGACAGAAGATGTCTTCTTTGTAAGGAGAGTCAATAACCACCGTTCGACCATTAGGACCAAAAAACTCAATGAACCCGTTGGGGAACATTTCAACCTTGAGGGTCACAAATGGGAGGACATGACAGTAGTGGTGATTGATCATAACCCAAGATGGACAGACGCTCAGAGAAAAAGCAAAGAAAAGTTCTGGATGCACAGATTGAAGTCATTCCGCCCCAATGGTATTAACAAACTGAATGACTTCACCAGAATGAACGTAAACTAGACCCGATTCCTGATGATACCAAACAAGATTATTCTCTCAATTTAGTGTAAACTCCACAGTAAATTTGCGTCACCAACTCTCGAACAACCCACATAACTATGTATTGCTTACGCCTTTGTTAATTAATTATTAATTATTTTTTACCGATAATCAGTCCTAAAACATTTCAAATTAAAATTTATAATAGATCATAATTCATATGTTAAAATGCCCCTTCCATATTATTTTTCTTTGGTTATTCTTTATCAAGTATAGTTACGCCATTTTGAGAGAATGAAACAATGTACGATTTACTGATTGTCGTAATTAATTAGCATAATTAATTCGTTCAATTATGTAAATCGCACTTCACCCGAGTATACCCGATAGACCGGACGCATTTCATAGCGGTCCGGATTCTTTCTTTAATAGTGTTCTTAAAAATTTCCAAATCAACATGTAACTTAGTATGTAAATATATAGTGTTTAGTAGTTTAGTAGTAGTGCTAGTTGTTTTTTGTTTCGCTTTTTCCTTTGTTCTTATGACTTTTTAACTCTTTTCTTTGTCCTGAGGAAGGGACAGGGCGTCCCGAAAATTTGACAATTTTTATTGTTCGTGTCGTTGGTCATTTTTAGTGCTTTTTATAAATTTCCATCCGTGACCTTGTATCTACTTGATAGATCCGACATTTAGGATATACAGTGTTGTTGGTATTTTTAGTGTTTTTTATACATATATATATATATATATATATATATATATATATATATATATATATATATATATATATATATATATATATATATATATATAAATCAAGAAACGGCCACTATGCTCCATAAAATATTCCTGAAAGTGAGTAACGTAAATTCATCTTAAAAAGTAAAGTAGTACGATTTGATTTATTCAATTTAATATATGAATGTTGTTTCATGTAAATGTATTTCATTCAACAGAAGATTGAACTCAACGGCCCTCATCTTATACCATTATAGGATATTAATAACACTTCCTAGTTGACTTTCTACAGCCTTGAGCATCTCTGACGTTTTGTCAGAATACTTGAAAACTGCGTATACATGTAGTATTGTACCGTAATCGGATGTACGTCCCACGGAATAAAGAACTAAACTCTACTATTTCATATTCATTAAATGGTTTTGATTATTGTAAAAAATTTCTTCTATGAGGATCTCCCTAGCTACAAATCAACTGATTTTAGTCGTCATGACTTTGTGTGTGAGGGTGTGAGTATGTGAGTAACATGTGTACCTACTAAAGAGCTATCTACTCTCAAAACAGGCTTTGACCCATCTACTGGGAAATATTGTTACTCCTGTCCACAACACGCACAAGCTGACAAATGTGATCACATCGACTTTTGCTTCGAAGACCAGGTAAAATGTGCTATGCCTTGTTCGAAGCTTTAAGATCCAATATTTTAATGCTTTTGGTACCATTTAAGATTTGCATTACCTGGAATGCAGTAAATAGTAAAAATACAATTTTTATTAGAACTGCTTCATTGGAGAAACAACATTTGTCTCGGACAGTTTCTTTGAATCTCGATGCCAAAGTAAACAAGTAAGTATCCTAACCTTTATTTAACTTGAATTATTTATTTTAGGTTCAATAATCTATCTGTATGGCATAATTACATCATGTGTAACTTGTTTAGAGCAGGTCCGAGGTAGATTAAATTTAGATTGTTAAAAACATGACCCCCGGGGTAGAGCGGGGCCACAATTTATAGAGAATCCAAGTTTTACATTGAAATTAATATAGGATAAATCTTCTTCTCAAGAACCACTGAGCCAGAAAAGCTGATACTTATGTGGAATCATTCTTGGGTAGTGTAGATTCTAACTTTTTCAAATCATGGCCCCCAGGGGTAGGCGGGGCCACAATAGGGAATCCGTGTTTTACATTGAAATATATAGGAAATATCTTTGAAAATATTCTCAAAAACAATTTGGCAATGGAAACATCCTCGGGTAGTGTAGATTCTAAATTGTCCAAATCAAGACCCCTGGGGGAAGGATGAGGCCACAATGGGTATTAAAGGGGAAATCTGGTAAAGAGCAACTTGGTCAAAGTTACTCAGGTGAGGGATGTGGCCCATGGGCCTCCTTTTTCCGATCTGCAATAAAATATTGCAAGAAAAAAACTGAATAAAAAATAAATTCTATCACTAATACAACAAATTAATTAATCATCTGAATAAAGATCGCATATTCCTACGAAGATTCTGTAAGTCTAAGTCTAAGTTTTCTGAAATCTTTGAGACGAATTTTAGAAATGTTGGTGGCTCGGCGGTTTGGGAATAACTGAGGCAGAAATCTAAGATATTTTATATGTTGGTGGCCCCGAAGCCAGATCATGATTGAACAATATTTTCTTTCCCATTTTAGCTCACCTGAGCCGAAGGCTCAAGTGAACCTTTTTGATCACATTTTGTCCTTCGTCCGTCCGTCTGTCTGTCCGTCCGCCTGCCCGTCCGTCCGTCTGTAAACTTTTCACATTTTCGACTTCTTCTAAAGAACCAATGGGCCAATTTTAACCAAACTTAGTACAACGCATCCTTGGACAAAGGGAAGTATAAAATATTAAAATAAAGGGTCAAGTCCCTTAATATTGTAGATATTAAATTGTTAAAATCATGACCCCCGGGGGTAGGGCGGGGCCACAATAGGGAATCCAAGTTTTACATAGAAATATAAAGAACAAATCTTTAAAAATCTTCTTCTCAAGATCCACTGTGCCAGGAAAGCTGAAACTTACGTGGAAGCATCCTTGAGTAGTGTAGATATTAAATTGTTAAAATCATGACCCCCGGGGGTAGGGCGGGGCCACAATAGGGAATCCAAATTTTACAAAGAAATATACAGAACAAATCTTTAAAAATCTTCTTCTCAAGATCTACTGGGCTAGGAATACTGAAACTTATGTGGAAGCATCCTTGAGTAGTGTAGATTCTAAAGTATTAAAATCATAAAAGGGAAGGGGGTAGTGGGGCACGATAGGTATAGCAAGAGGGGAAATCTGGTAAAGAACTGCATCACCCAAGTTACTCAGGTGAGTGATGTGGCCCATGGACCTCTTGTGTAATTTCCTGATTGGGTTCTGTCGATATTTTCAATATAATACTTAACCCGAAATTGAAGATAAGGAACAAATCTTTAAAAATTTTCTTCTCAAGAACCACTGGGGCAGGAAAGCTGAAACTTACGTTGAAGCATCCTTGGATAGTGTAGATATTAAATTATTAAAATGATGACCCCCGGGGGTAGGGCGGGGCCACAATAGGGAATTCCAAGTTTTACAAAGAAATATATAGAACAAATCTTTAAAAATCTTCTTCTCAAGAACCACTGGGCCAGGAAAGCTGAAACTTATGTGGAAACATCCTTGAGTAGTGTAGATATTACATTGTTAAAATCATGACCCCCGGGGGTAGGGCGGGGCCACAATAGGGAATCCAAATTTTACAAAGAAATATATAAAACAAGTCTTTAAAAAAACCTTCTTCTCAAGATCTACTGGGCTTTGAGTAGTGTAGATATTACATTGTTAAAATCATGACCCCCGGGGGTAGGGCGGGGCCACAATAGGGAATCCAAGTTTTACAAAGAAATATATAGAACAAATCTTTAAAAATCTTCCTAAGAACCACTGGGCCAGGAAAATTGAAACTTACGTGGAAGCATCCTTGAGTAGTGTAGATATTAAATTGTTAAAATCATAACCCTCGGGGGTAGGGCGGGGCCACAATAGGGAATCCAAATTTTACAAAGAAACATATAGAACAAATCTTTAAAAATCTTCTTCTCAAGAACCACTGGGCCAGGAAAGCTGAAACTTATGTGGAAGCATCCTGGGGTAGTGTAGATTCTAAAGTATTAAAATCATAAAAGGGAAGGGGGTAGTGGGGCACGATAGGTATAGCAAGAGGGGAAATCTGGTAAAGAACTGCATCACCCAAGTTACTCAAGTGAGCGATGTGGCCCATGGGTCTCTTGTTTGATTCCTGATTGGGTTCTGTCGATATTTTCAATATAATACTTAACCCGAAATTGAAGATAATGATAGTGAACGAAAAGTATGTATTAATACTTCATTTTTAAATTTTTGTGTCCAAGCTTTGTCCGGCAACTGGAAGTGGACGAACGGCTTGCTGCAGTACTCAACTTTGTAATTCAGGAAATATTTTGTCGAGTGGATCGCTCGGACAAACAACCCCAATGCCTCGTATGTATAGATAGATTGATTAATTGATTATTGTTTAACTTAACTCATATTGAGACATCACTGCTTGCCAGTGAAGGGCTACAAATTCTTATAAGTTCCTATACAAATCTATACGAAAAAAAGTCCAACATTTCTAACGTTTTTCTGAGCGGGCATTTAAAATGATCGATGTTTGACCGCTGAGTGAGATGTTGGACCGGTCTCGGGATGTTGGACCGCTTACGTCACAGAATGGGCGGAACTTAATCTCATTTTCATTCGTGTCTGTTCAACAGTGACGGACCTGAGGTTACATCACGGAAGACAGTATAAAATACATGTTTGTCAAAAATTTAAAATAATGAAATGAAGGGAATAACAAAACATTTATTGACTAGGTTCTCGGGCAAAATGCGTTTTGTCGACCCTCGAACCAAACTGTCTGCCTGAGGCCGTTAGGCCAAAGGCAGACAGTTTGGTTCTTGCATGGGTCCGATAAAATTCATCTGCCCTCGAACTCAGTCAATAAATGTATAGTACTGAACAATAATACGTATGGGTGACCCAATATCACTGTGCCAAGCTGATCCTCAAGAAAAAATAGGCACTTGTTATAAAACGAATTTTTAAAACTGTAGCAAATACTTTCACTAGTCTTGCACCACTAGCAAACAGTGCACAGATCTTGAGTGCTTGGATCAAACAGACGTGCGATTAGAAAGTCAATCGCATCTTAAAACGTTTGTTTTTGCGATTGTCGAGAAGTCCTGAGAAGTTGTGATTGCAGCTGTTGTAAAACCATTCCGTCAGTAAACAGTTAAAAAAGAAAAGGCACACGATCATGATTGTCTCTAAGAAAAAAATTATGATAAATGACAACAATCATCAGAGTACTGTAATTTGTTAAAAGATTGTCAATCGAAAATTGACCTAAATATTTTCAGAGGAAAAGGGCTGAAGAGACAGATAGCGTAGAAATATGAATACTACATTTCTGGAGATAAAATTATTTCTTTAAAACAATTTTACGTTAATTTTTACGTTAATTTTGTTTTCTTCCATGTATGACATATAATACTCATCAATATTCTTAAGTTTTGTTGTTATGTTGTCTGTTGATATTGAATGGAACTACGGTATATTTTTCCGATCAATCTTTGAAAATATACATGTTGTATGAGCTGATCGAATATATTAAAAATAGGTTGACAATAAAACTTACTTAAAAGTTAGATGAATATTATTTTTCAGATATAAATCATACGGCTCCACATTGTCCTTCACAATGGATAATTCGGAATTTATCAGAGAGTGTCCAATTTTTATACTGTTTATATCCAAATAAAAAAGTGCCATGGGCAACAGCAAAGGTTTGTGATTAACTATCAAAAGGTTAGTAATAGTATATGTTTAAGTCACCTGAGTTACTCAGGTGAAGTTAGCTATCCGTTTTTTGTAAGTTGTCCTCCGTTTTAGTTAACATTTGAAAATTTTCAGCTTCTTTACCAGTGAAACGTCGAAAAGTGACCCCTAAAGAATATTAACGGATGTAGGGAGTTCAAATTTTTACGCAGATAAATGAACATGTGTTACCGAGTCGATACAGTATTTTCATTACAGGATCGTTACCGATACACATGTATATCGATAACGATCCTCTATCAAAACTAATATCCAGATAACTGTATATCACTTCCACTTCCAGCGAGAATTTCATCGGCATCTAAAGCAAGTTTTTCAACTGATAGCTTAGGGGTCTAGGGCGCTGTTTCCCCAGGCACCTGAAGTATGGATAATACCCCCCCCCCCTTTTTTTTTGTTAATGAAAAAAAAAATGTAAGAGTGTATAATATCTCAAAAATATAAAATTTCCCCGTCAAACACATCTATATGTCGTTATATGCAAGCAGATTGTACTTTTTCTCACGTTTAAAGAATGACCCTATTCGGTATATAATAAAAATACAGTGTTTTATTATATACCGAATAGGGTCATTCTTTAAACGTGAGAAAAAGTACAATCTGCTTGCATTTAACGACATATAGATGTGTTTGACGGGGAAATTTTATATTTTTGAGATATTATACACTCTTACATTTTTTTCATTAACAAAAAGGGGGGGGGTATTATCCATACTTCAGGTGCCTGTGATTCCAAAAGTAAAGAGTTCAACCCTTGGTAGGGGCGGAAGTGGATATCCGTATAAAGAGTTCGACCCTGGGTTGGGGCGGAAGTGGATATCCGTATGAGTTAAACCCTGGTTTGGGGAGGGAGTGGATATCCGTATGAAAAGTGAATTTCTTAGAGTTTCTATGTTAAATTTTCTTCAGTAAAGAGAGTTATGTAAGTTTAAGCTGTACTGTTGCAATTTTGTCTGTCGTCATACGTTGTGCGTTAATAAGACCGCGAAACATTAACGGGCAAAATTGGAAATACACAGCTTACGTCATTTCTATCTGTTACAATCAATACATTCCGTGATAGACAATGAAATGGGCGGGTACAATTCGACGCGGACGTGAAGAAAACATCGGATTGAAATTGCAGATCGAAATTCATTTTCAATCCACCTCAGCTACGCTATAAGGCAAATTATTACTGATTGATCCAGAAGACAAATAATTTCAATTTTGGTACACTTTGATTTTTTTGTCAGTGTTTTAAATAAATTAATATTTATAAAAAGAACAATCTGGTTTAACGACATAATCATGACATACCCTTACATTTATTAATCATGAATGTGATTTTTTGACAAATATTTCATTTCTGTTTGGTAAATATATGTTTGTGTGTGTGTATGGGGTGGGGTGGGGGGGTGGGGGGGACTGAACGATTTTTAAACAAAGTTGTCCAACAGTTTTCAGTGAGAATAAGTATAAAACTCACGCACTCTTATAATCCTAGAAATAATATATATTGTCATGTAAAGCCATGACCTGACTCGACAATTTTTACCCCCCCCCCCCCCCTCTCCCCTTCTAGAATCAAATATCTCCTGAAAAGTAATCTTTGTCTTCTTTGATCTTTCGCATTCTTAAAATTATAAGCTAAAACTCATATTAATGTGAACTTCAAACAATATGTATTTGGGAGTTGAAATTAGTTGATTTTTGGATCATATATTCACTCTTTGCTTTGAAAACAGCTCTGGTGGATTGAAAATGAATTTCGATCAGCAATTTCAATCCGATGTTTTCCCCACGTCCGCGTCGAATTTTACCCGCCCATTTCATTGTCTATCACTGAGCGTTTTGATTGTTACAGATAGAAATGACGTAAGTTGTATATTTCCAAATTTGCCAGTTACTTATGTGAACATTTTCAGCTTCTCTACAACCGCTCAACAAATTTCAACCAAATTTGGCAAATAGCATCTTCATTGTTGGAATTTCACGCCCCCTCCCCTTGGGCCTGAGGGGAAGGGCTAAAACCACTTAAATTAATGGAATCTTTAAAAATCTTCTTTACTCCTGGACATCAAGCAGTCAAACTATTGGCATGATTGTAATAAGCATCAAGTCCTATACCAAAATTTTGAAATTCATGGCTCCAGGGTCTAGGGCTCTAGTGCTAGGGCGGGGCTATATAGATCATAAAGTGAAAATGCTTTATTTCTTTGAAAATCTTCTCCTCTGTTCCTAGGTATAAAAAAAACTAATTACAATGTCATGGTTCATTGAAATAAGAGATGCTTCTTCTAAAATCATGAAATTCATGGCTCAAGGGTCATGGTTTCCGTTGTTAGGGCAGGGCAATATATGTACTTGTAAATTATATATACCGGTATTGTAAATGCATTAATTCTTTGAAAATCTTTTTCTCTACACCTTGTTATTAAACATGCTAACTACATACATAGTTACGATGCCTCTTCCAAAATTATTTATATGACCCCAGGGTCAGGGGTCTATGTTTTAGGTGGGGCTAATATAAATTATATAGTGAAAATACCTTTATTATTTGAAAATCTTCCTCTCTGCTCCTGGGTACTAAGCAACAGTACTAAGTGCATAGTTATGATAAGGAAGAGTGTTTTTTCCAAAATTGTGAATTTCATGGCAACAGGGTCAGGGGTCTAGTTGTTAAAAAAAGGGGGGGTCTAATGATCATAAAGTGAAAATGCTTGAAATCTGAATCTTCTCCTCTGCTCCTGGGTATTTACTGTTAAACTGATGAACTAAGTACATAGTTATGATGAGGAAGAGTGCATCTCCCAAATTTGTGAATTTCATGCAGGGGTTCCCTTCCATTCTTTGACAAGTTTTACTAAACTGTGCATGGTTTTCTGTTCATATCCACAACAAAAACCATTTTAAGCCATATTATTAAATTTTTTTTTGTAATCAACATCTAAAGTTTAATCAAATAAGTATTTTTTTACTACTTTGATATATTTGAGAAAAATGTTAAAATGAGAGGATGATGCCGTCATGTGTTGATGTATTGCAGTATGGTGGGTTGTAAGTGCCTCAATTTTACACCCCAGATTTAAGACAGATTTTTATCTCATACGTGTGGATGATACTACCCTTGTGATTAACCTAAGCTTTATCCACGGGTAGATGCTTTATCAATATCACTTCCGGTTTTAACAAGATACCTCGCCTCAAGATTTTATTTTATCGAAACTTTTATTTCTTTTAGAAAAATGCCCTTTCAAAATGAATGATAAAGAGCAATAATGTCGTTAAAAGGAATAAAAAGACTCGTATATGTCAAAGAAGTGTCTTATTTAATCAAGGTACGTACCTGTATTGGCCATGGCTGGCAGGGATGGGGTAATTGAATAAAGTAATTGTAATTGAGTGTAATTAATTACATTTTTCAAAGTAATTGGAAGTAATTTGTATTTGAGCGAGCCTTCAATTACAAGTAATTGAATGTATTTGAAATACATTTCAAAAAAGGTCATGTATTTTCAATTACTTTTCAATTACATTTTTACTTTTTTCAAAATGAAAGTTTATATTTAAAAAGGTGTCTTATACTGATACATATATATAGTTTTATACTGGTGGGTTTATATTAATCATTCCCATGTTTGATCAGTTCTCCCTATGCCCACTTGCAAATAACAATGATTGTTTAGATAGTTATAATTTGTTTTACAGCAATTAGACTAACTACATCCCCTTTTAGATTTACCTGTATTCTATTCATTTTAAGATAGAAAATAATGAATGGAATTGTGATAGATATTATTTATTTCCTTAAAAAATATGGATTTGAGAAAATTACAAAAAAGATCTTGCCATACACCATACTGGTGGTTTGTTCCCGTTTTGCACACATTTGAATTACAGGTAATTAAAAAATGTGTGAAAAACAGGAATTTGACCAGGTGAGATTGCTATAGTCTATACCATACTAAGCTTAGTAAGTATGTGAAAGGTGAACTTTTAGTGAAAAAATAAGAGAATAAATACAAAGTTAATGTATTTGATTATCTGGTGATCTTATTATAACATCTTCTTCATGTTCTTGGCTTGGGCATTATTTTCAAATTAATTTTTATTCACTAGTTTCTTCATTACATGTTATATCTTTAATTCAATAGAATTTTATCAAGATTGAAAAGTACGTATTCTTTTTTTTTAAGAAATTGGACTTAATAATAAATAATATTAAACAAATATTAATAATTTATTCAATAAAATCAAATAGTTTTCAAAAAACATATATAGAATTTTAATAAAATGCTTATTAAAATTGTATTAAACCTCTTAAGAATACATTAATCTAAATAACGTATTCACAGGTAAATCCAGGTAAATCCAAACCAAAAATCAGACTATAATTGCTATCAAAACACACTTCGCACCTATTGTTCTATACTAATTACCAAATGTGTGCAAAACGGGAACACACCATACTGGTTTAGCATGGGCTTATGTTTGTACAATAATTAATTGTCTCATAATGTTTAATTTGTTTATACAGAGTGTCACACTCATTATAATAAAGGTCTTTTTTTACCAGGTGTGATATATTTACCCCAGAACAAAAACACTGAATGAAAGTCTGAATTTGATGCTATAGAAAAAATCTTATTAAAAAAAAATCTTTATTTTTTGTTATAAACTAAAACCTGAAGTAATTAAAATGTATTTAATTACATTGGTCAAAGTAATTGAAAGTAATTAATTACATTTGAAAAAATCAATGTAATTGTAATTGCAAGTAATTGACAAAATTATCAATGTATTTGAAAGTAATTAATTACATTTCAAAGTAATTGACCCCAAGCCTGATGGCTGGGCCCAACTTGAAGACGGATGTTACTCCCCCCCCCCCCTTTTTTAAATCGTTTTCGGAGAAAGTAAAGCCTAGAAGTTACGTTTTTGTTATAAGATTCCTTTAACTTCAACAATGCTTTCTTAAATTACAAGTAACAGCTTTTTAAAAAGCTTGCCTGACTAAATCCATCAATTTATCTGCATGAAGAGTGATAACCCTTTTGAGCAATACTTTGTGGGTTTAAAAAATATCCTAACTTTTTATTTTGAGAACCTTATGTAATGAAATCTTGATTTTACTGAAATTGTAGAAGAATCATCTCTACACTGCATACTAAAGAACTTTGTAGTTTGGGGGGGGGGGGGGGTCTGCAAGTGGAGTGATCTGCCCTTGGATCTAAATTGATTTCAAGCTACATTGTAACACCTATTATAAAATCTGTTATCAAATCACGCATTGTGAACATTGTAAAAGATGGATATAATTAAAAACACATTTTGTTGGAGTGTATTTTCTCCTCTGAAGTAAACAGTAGTAATGTGTGTTCATTATTTTTTTTCTTAAAAGGGGAGGGTGATGACACTATCATATAATACATGATATATTGAGAGTGAAATAAGTAAAATCAATAGTTAGGCTTTGTAGAAAGATATATCCAAGATTATTCACTACTTTTTAGCTCACCTCAACGAAGTTGGGGGAGCTTATGTAATACCCTCGGCGTCGGCGTCCCGGGTAAAGGTTAAGTTTTTTGGAGCAGTTTTCTTTTTAAGTACTTCTATGTCCTATATTGATTAGACATGCATGGAAGATGTTTCTAATGTGTTTCATTGTACCAGTCAAAGTTTCAAATGCTGCAATTTCAGCAAAGGAATGACCAGGTTAATGTTTTTGGAGCAGGTTAACATTTTTGGTGCAGTTTTTGGTGTAGGTCTCATTTTCGAGTAACTATATAAGCCCTATGTTGACCAAACTTGCATGGATGATACATCTAAGGATGTACACTACCAGACTTGCTTCGGATGCTGAATCTGACCTACATTTTCCGGTTGAGTGAACAGGTTAATGTTTTTGGTGCAGGTTTCATCTCCAAGTAACTATAAGCCCTATGTTGACCAAACTTGCATGGATGATACATCTAAAGATGTACACTAAAAGACTTGCTTCGGATGCTGAATCTGACCTACATTTTCCGGTTGAGTGAACAGGTAAATGTTTTTGGTGCAGGTCTTATCTCCAAGTAACTATAAGCCCTGCTTGGACCAAACTTGCATGGATGATACATCTAAAGATGTACACTACCAGACTTGCTTCGGATGCTGACTCTGACCTACATTTTCTAGTTGAGTGAACAGGTTAATGTTTTTGGTGCAGGTCTTATCTCCAAGTAACCATAAGCCCTATGTTGACCAAACTTGCATGTATGATACATCTAAGAATGCACATTACCAGGCTTGCTTCGGATGCTGAATCTGACCTATATTTTCAGGTTGAGTGAACAGGTTAATGTTTTTGGTGCAGGTTTCATTTCCAAGATACTATGAGCCCTATAATGACCAAACTTGCATGGATGGTACATCTTAGGATGTATACTACTAGATGTGCTTTGGATGCTGAATGTGACCTACATTTTCCGGTTGAGTGAACAAGTCTATGTTTTTGGTGCAGGTTTCATCTCCAAGTAACTATAAGCGTATGTTGACCAAACTTGCATGGATGATACATCTAAGGATGTACACTACCAGACTTGCTTCGGATGCTGAATGTGACCTACATTTTCCAGTTGAGTGATTAGGTTAAAGTTTTTGGTACAGGTTTCATTTCCAAGATACTATGAGCCCTATAATGACCAAACTTGTATGGACGATACATCTAAGGTTGCATTCTACCAGGCTTGCTTCGGATGCTGAATCTGACCTACATTTTTTTGGATGAGTGAAGAGGTTAAATTTTCATGCAAGTTTCATTTCTAAGTAACTATTAGCCCTATGTTGTTCAAACTTGCATGGATGATACATCTTAGGATGCACACTATTAATGGATTTGCTCTAGATGCTGAATTCAACATACATCTTTCAGATAATGTACCAGGTAAAAGTTATGGGTGCAGTTCTATTACCAAGAAACTATATGGCTTATATAAACCAAACTTGCCCAAATGATGCATCAAGGGATGAAAACTCTCAAACTTGCTACAGATGCTGGATTTTAATCACATTTTTGTGACAAAGAACTAGTTTGAAGTTTTTATATAGGTCTATTCCAAAGTATCAGATCAAAATTGCATAAATTCTGCACTTTTTGTTGGGTTATTGTGTGACTTTGCCTTACTTAAAGACAACATTCGTTGAGGTGAGCTCTGTAATCTCTGATTACCTATGTTTTATTTATCGTGTGCATCTGAACAAAGACATATAATAGATCATGCATCTGGAGACGATGGCTTGAACTGCGTTGTTTATTATTATTGGACTCGTCCATTTATGGAATAAACCAACCGCGGGATCGGTAAACAAATTAGAAACATTATTTCTTTAGTGTTACATGTCCATATACCATGTATACTGATGTATACGATGTGTTGTTTTAAAGAATGGTTTAAAAGTTGTAGATAGAATTTCTGAAGCATTAGAAGGAAGTTAAAAGGGTAAACCACGGAAGTTAGCACACCCATTCATACAATAGAACAATCCAAGGAAAAGGCGCGAAGATAGCTTACTAGTGACATTTGGCGCGAAAAGAGCGATTCACCCCTTTCGTAGAATATAAATGGACTGATCCAGTAGTATAGAAATGCAGAAAAAAGGATATACGGACATGTTGAAACGGCAAATCATATGGAATAATCTGTTCCATGCAAAAAGATTAAAGCACAGGAGTCTGAAGTTTTTATCGTCAAAAAAAAAAAAAAAAAAAATCCGGAAAAATTTTTTCCTACCCTTAACTAAAAAAAACCCAGGATGGCAACGTGTTTTGGGGGGACCCACCTAAACAAATAGATCTAAGCTTGGCCAGAAAAATCTCGCGACTAATTCAGTTTCCGGAGCGTTTTTGTTATTTATTTAATGTGAAAAATTCAATCTGCTTGATGACTACGGGCTGTTCCTAGCCCCTTTTCCACTTTTACAGCTCATCCTGGACTCCATGCCACTAAACCGGAAGAGAATCTCGCAGTGTATATTTGACGTTTATGAAAACTTGTTCAAATGAAATAAAATAAATAATTGTTCAACGTAATTTTATTCAGTTATATTAAATATATTTAAGAGAACTTTAAAAAGTTATTTATTCTTTTTCTTAAAATGTGTACCAAGGACAATAATTCCAATGTTTAAATCACTGAAAAGCCATGTGACAAAGAGCCAAACAGTTAGACTAAGCGCCCTTATAAAGCATTATTTTGTTTGAAAAATATATCTTTTTATTAATCACGTATGGTAACATAAAATTGGACATGAAGTTTTACATGCATTTTTTTTGGTTCTTTTCTTCAATTACGTCATATATTCACCTCGGAGTTCACTTCCGGTGTAGTGGCATGGATATCTGTCAAAGTGGAAAAAAGGCCATGAACAGCCCGTATCGTCAAGTAGATTTCATTTCTTAACTTGAATAAATAGCCGAACACTGGATACTGCCGTGATCTATTTGTCAGGCCATCCTGGGGTTTTTTTAGTTAAGGGTAGTAAAATTTTTTTCCGGATTTTTTTTTTTTTTTTTTGACGATAAAAACTTCAGACTCCTGTGATTAAAGGAAGTAAACACTGCAGTATTTCGCATCAGTAATATCTTTCTTTTTTCTGAAAACTGTTTCTTTTAAAATGCAACAATGTAAATCAGTGCACAAAATCTAGCTCTTTAATATGTAGCCGGATATCAATCCTTATACTGCCCAGCACGTTTTGTACTTCCACCGTACAAAGAGTTAATTTTCACGGTCCCTTGGTCCTTTCAGTCAGAAGTTAGCTTGATATAAAGTCCAGCAATTGTCACATAATGTTTTCAAAGACTCAGATAGCAAAAAATTCTAAATCTTGAACACGATCTACTTTCTTTCGAGGCATTTCAACATCAACAGTACAATGTCATCAAGTTTATAATATATGTAATCAATTTGAATTGGAAATCATTCATGTATAGTTTCACAGGGGAAGTCTCAAAGTTGTATGAGATAAATAGAACATCTATAATTGTGTGATTTGATATATTGGCTTTATCCAACGCGTTGAAATGGTGTATATTCGCTTGAAAAGCCTCGCGAATATATACCGGTATACCATTTCAACGCGTTGGATAAAGCCAATATCAAATCACACAATATAGATATCCTCTATATATCCCGATAGATATTTATGCCCCCCCTTCGAAGAAGGGAGGGCATATTGCTTTGCTGCTGTCGGTCGGTCGGTCCACTTCGTTTCCGTTCATTTTCTTTGCAACCGTTTAACATACTGAAATGAAATTTGGTATACAGATATATCACATGAATATCTAGGTCAAGTTCTATTTTGGTTACGATCGCACCATTTTTGACAGAGTAATGCACCTTGCACTTAGAAAAAACTTCAATTATTTGCAGTTTCCGTTCATTTTCTTCGCAACCTTTGTGCATACTGAAATGGAATTTAGGGTACAGATTTATCAGATATAAATATCTAGGTCAAGTTATATTTTTGGTACGATTGCGCCATTTTTGATAGAGTTATGCCCCTTGGACTTAGAAAAAATGCCAATTATTTGGAAACCTGAAATGATATTTAGTATACAGATTTATCAGATAAATATCTTGGTCAAGTTCTGTTTTGGGTACAATCCCGCCATTTTTGACAGAATTATGCCCTTTTGGACTTGGAAAATTCCAATGTGGGGGGAGGGGGGCATAAGTGTTTTACAAACATCTCTTGTTAAAAATGATTCTTTTTTTCTGAATTTAAATGTTATTTAATGGTTTTTGGAAGGGAGAATGGTACGGATGTTCTTCAGACGATCGTGACTTATTAAAATGGGTTAACCACCCAACCCCAAAGAAATAACCTGTAATCATGAGATATAAATTGTAATTCTTTAATTAACAGCTACTATGTAATCGTCACAACACTCATCTACCTATCATTGAAACAGACCAAGAGAAAGCTATTATCGATGGAATCACATCTCATACTGAAAGTAAGTTTTATAAATGTTAACTTACTCCCCTTCATCCATAAATTCTATATGCTAAAGTCGATCATTGATTCCAGAAAAGAAGTTAAAAATGTTCAAAAGTTTTCAGTCGATTGACGACGGACAAAAAACAGATATATAGCAATTATAATTCACCAGAGTGACTCAAGTGACCCAAAAAGAAGATGGAAAATATAAACAAACAGCATCATATCATTTTAATTAAACATTGTTATAAAAAGGCTGAACTATATCATTTCGTCAACTAATATGTTGAAATTTTCTTGAAATGTTTTTTTTTCCCAGCTAGGCCTTTTTTTCTGAGTCAGTGTTTTTAGCGTGGATCAGGAGAGGAAAAACAAATATAATAATAGATACAAAGTAGGTAGTTGATAAAAAAAAGTTTATCATCGGAACTTTTTGTGAATATAGTATGGCTGGATGCGACAGATAAAGATAGGGAAGGTGTCTATATTTGGAGCACGACAAACGAGACGGTGTCAAAGTATTACTGGGCCGATAATGAGCCGGACGATCAGAAATATCCTGCGGACGAAGACTGCCTGGAAATGGGTCCGAATTATCTGATGGGGTGGAACGACGCTCCGTGTGACAGACTTGTGGGAGTTTTGTGTGAATACGGGTACGTCTCTGTAATGCACTAAGTCTTACATTTTTTGTTATTGATGTTTTTGATTTCTCTTTGAACTTTTTAAAGTTTATATGTAGTAAAAGGTGATCCCATTTAATAAATTCCAATTTATATACCTTTGTTTTTAACTTCAGCTTAACGAAGCATGTTCAACAGCCCTCAGTAGGTACATGATTATCTGTTAGTGAATTGTAGGCTAAAGGACATTTTTAAAGCTAAATCTAGATGAAAGTTTATGACTTTTTTTAAACAAAGTTGCAAATTTTCATGGTGAATTCATGATTAAAACGATGGTGAAAGTATTTAATAGTTTTAATTTGCAAAAATGAAATATGATTGATTATCATAAATATATGATGGTATTGCATGATGTTTAATATATTTTCTCTTTTGGGTGTAGCTTGTCCTACCGGCTGGAGATCAGCATTTAATCTGCAGTATTGTGTTGTGAGAAAATCTTTAAATTGGTATCAGTCTAAGGTAAAAGATAAAACTGTTTTATAAAACAAGGGAAGGTATTGCAGTTATCTATAAATGTCCTTCTTCATTGACATACGCATTAGGAGTTTTATATGTATACATAACCCCCTTAAAACTGATTTTTTTTTATCCCTAATGAAAGAAAAAGTGAACATACCCAACGTTCCCTTGAAAGTTGACCATGCAACCTATACTGAATGGCATGATTCACTCTACATACACAGTTTTGATGAGCAATGGGTCCTCTTTCAAAAATTTGAATTTCATGGCCTCTGGATGAGATTATGTACACAAGAGCTAGACCATAAACTGAGAAAGGACTAATGACTTTATTAAGTAAACATTTTGATTCTGAATATCTTTTGTTATAGCTTCACAGTTATTTATAAATATTTATTTCCAACAAATGAGTGAAAAATCATCGTGCCTTCTTTGTACTGCGCTGCATCTGCAAATCGGTTCCTTTAATCTTACAGAACTACTGTACAACTCTAGGAGCCCACTTGCCAATACTTGATAGCAAAGCCAAAATGGACCAAATTTTTCAGTTTGAACCAAACATGGAATGTGAGTGGAATTTGTTTGAATTGTCTAAAATTAATTACAAGAAAGCATATCCTGAATTGTTTAGTTCACTCGAGTCACCCAGGAGACATACTGCTGTTTCTTCCGAACAAAAACGAAGAACGAGGTTGCCTGGAACAAAAAAAGCCATTGTCAACAAGTTTTGGCATATGACATCTATGGGTAAATTGAAACAATAATTTGAATCGCATTCACCATGGGGCCTGAGGAGTGGGGAATAAATTATGAGAAATCATGCATTTTTCTTTACTGCAGAACATTAAGCAATTAAACCATTAGCATGAATTTAATACCACTTGAACCCTTAGGCTCTGTAAAAGTTATGAATTTTTTGCGCCTGGATCAGGGATTCTAGAGTAAAGTTGGCATTCTATTGATCACAAAGTAAAAACGTTTTACATTTATTCATCAAAAGGACTTTTAATAGACAAGATAAGTGCATGGTTTATACAAGCAAGATAGCTTCTTCCTAAATTTTGAAAGGATCACATCTCTAGAGGTAAATATATGCGTTGACCTGTAGGGGCGGTATTGGTTTCAGTCTTTAAAAAAGCATGATATCGATTTCCGTTACGGTCGCTGACTTTAGGACACATGCGTGTAGTTTTGTTAGCTTTATGCCTAGGTCACATTTAAGCCGATGGTCGGGCGACTAAATTTTTCTGGTCTTGTCGGCTTAAAGAACATGATCGGCCGACACAAGTATCGGGTGACACGGAGCAGTCACATTATTTCCTAGGAACACCGATGACTTGGATAAATATCACAAAAACTCTTTTTTCTTTAGAAATCAGCAATATTTTTTCATAGATCTACATGCATATTCAGATAGCTGACGTGAGTATTGTTTGCAGGGCAAAGTGGCAGAATCTTGTAAATGTGTGACTCAATGTTGAAAATGTGTGCAAAATTTTGTATAGATTTGCATAAAAATGACAAATGGTGCATATCTAAGCAGCAAAGAACTTAAGATTTCTTTATATCTTACGGATTAATTATTTATGTTATTTCCGTTCAAAAAATATGTATCAATCCATGCATCACAATTTTGTTTGTGTTATGTATTCTGAATAGGTTAAATATTCACAAGTCGACCAATCGTCGCCCGATCGTCGAGCTTTGAGCTACAGTTTGATTTTAACCGTCGGTCGAAATTTTGGAAACCCTTATTGTCGAGCGACGGACGAGCGACGTTATGAACTGACTGCCGATGGTCGGACGATGATCGAAGGTTGGTCTACGGATAACTTCAATTGAAGAAATTGACCACCGACGCAGAAAAAAATATAACTTGGACCGCTGGACACAATATTGGTCGGCCGACAAAAAAAGAGGTCAAAATCGGCCAAGACAACGGCTGATGAACTGCTGATTGTCACCCGAAGAATCCCATTTTTGCTTCAAAACCCGTCGGCCGTTGGTCGTTTTTGGAAATGTGACTGGGGTTTTACAATTCAGAGACCAGGACAACAGTTTATGCGGGGTGTCTTCTAGCTATTCCCACTTTTTAAAAATCTCAATTCCATCTATTCCCACTTGCAAATAACAATAGATGTTTAGATTTACCTGTATTTTGTACATTTAAAGACAGAAAATAATGAATACATCTATGAGAAAATAAGATTTATTTCAGATTTTTTAAATAATAAAAAGATCTTACAAGAAATAGCAACTTAATACCTAAATTTAAGAACATAGTTAATTATTTGTTTACACAAAATTCCACCTACTCCCACGTGAAATTTCACCTTTTTCTACCTGATTTTCAGAAAGTGGGAATAGCTTGCATAAACCTTTATGCGGTAATTAGATGGCCGTCCCCTTGCTGCAGAACTGTAGCTCTCCGAAAAAAATATGACAGACCGGAGAGCTACAGTGCCACTCATTGAAAAACGTATACCGGGGTATTTATTGCGCGAGAGCTATAATTCTGCAGCTAGCCGTCCTCCGTCTGTCTGTAATTTTTTCATTTTCAAAATGCTACTCCTCCAATAGTTTTGGTTTGATTTCAATACTACTTTGCAAATGTGCACACAAGAAGACTACACTAAGATATATTATTAAATACCCGTTTTTTATTTCCATGAAAGGAGTTGCCATGGTTACTAAAAATAGAAAAAGTCTGGAAAAACTGCTTTAAAACGCTACTCCTCCTACAGTTTTGTCTGATTTCAATGTAAATTTTGTATTCAAGTCAACTACACTAAGATACATAATTTAGTGCATCGACTTTTGATTTCCATGAACGGAGTTGCCATGGTTACTAAGCATAAAAACAACTTTGTAATCCCTTTAAAGCGCTACTCCTCCTACAGTTTTGAACTGATTTCAATATAATTAAAAATTTTGACATACAAGTTGACTACACTACGATACATTATTTAGTGCATTAGTTTTATGCCCCTGTAAACGAAGTTTCGGGGGTATATAGCTTTTGTCGTGTCCATCTGTTCTGTCTCTCTGTCTGTCTGTCTGTCTCTCTGACTATTTGTCCGCAAAAACTTTAACCTTGCCCATAACTTGATTTAATGGAGCTATGGCTTTCATATTTCACATGTGTATTTCTTGTGACAAGACCTTTCTTTCTCTCTGTCTGTCTGTCTGTCTCTCTGACTATTTGTCCGTTTAACCTTGCCCACATTTAAATTTGACCTTTTGACCTTGACCTTTTGACCTTGACCTTGGAGTTTGACCCACTTTTACAAAAAAATTTTGAACTTTTTACTTTGGCCATATCTTTTGAAGAGTAGAAAACAGGACATTTAAACTTGACATATGTATTTTTTGTGAAAAGACCTTTCCTTGGATAGCAGCAGCCTTCACCTTTTGATCTTGACCTTGGAGATTTCTGTACTTATGAAAAAACTTTAACATTAGCTATACGTTTTGGAATGGTAAGTGCCAGGGCTTTCATACTTCACATATATAATCCTTGTGAAAAGGCGCTTTATTGGATACCAAGAACCTTGACCTTGGAGTTTGACCTACTTTAAAATACAACCTTGAATATAAGTTTTGAAGGGTTAGAACTAGGGCTTTCATACTTCACATATTTAATTCTTGGGACAAAACCTTTCATTTGATATCAAGAACCTTAGCTTTTAGACCTTGACCTTGGAGTTTGACCCACTTTTACACAAAAATTCCAAACATTTACTTTGGCCTTAATTTTTAAACGGTAGATACTAGGAGTTTCATATTTCAAATACCAATTCTTTATGGCAAGACCTTTCATTTGAAACTAACAATTTTGACCTTTTGACCTTTATCTTCTTTATCTATTCAAATGACACCAAGGTCAATTACCTTGTGACTTTGACTGTGACTTTTATGCTAAATATAGTTTTTTGGATATCCTTTGCCATAACTTTTTAACCACTTTAACCTTTTGAGATAGAGACTTTCATGTTGTACACATGTAATTCTTTGACAATCGATTTCTTTCATTGGATATCAAGGTCATGACCTTGACTGTGATATATATGCTTTTTACAAACTTTAGCTTTTTTTCTGAGAATTTTGTTGCCATATGTAATCTTTGAGACAAGGCCTTTCACAACCACATCTTGTTCCTTCTTGACCCTTTCTTCTCCTTTAAAAATGTTTTTGTCCGCCCTTGAACAGTTCTAGGTTTTAAACTGTTCACCCAATTGAGCTAAAACCTTTTTTTTAGGGTTAATAGGTGTGTAGTGTAGGTGGTCGGATACGAAGGTCATTTTTTGCGCATACAAGCTATTTCTCGTGCGGGCGCGTGCAACACGTGAAATTACTTATATACTTTGTATAGTGTTCTTAACTTTTACAATTTTTGATGAAATAATGTGAAACTCATTATATAAGGATATATTCTAGTGTAGACAATCTTCATGAAACTTGTTGTTGTTATGGTTAGTATCTGTAATTGTGCTCATTGGATTTAAAAATTGCAAATTGTAAATAGTTGCCATGGAAACAGGGGCAAAGTAAAAATTCTTTAACTTTTATTTTTAAATCAAAGTACTGAAAGTACTGAAAGGACTGATACGAGTTGATGGTTTTCCAAGCTTAGCTATAATGGGTTTTGTTTTAGTGATGATAAAAAATGAAAGTCTTGTCCAGTTCGGGACGACATAAGCTATTGCTTGCAAAAGCAAACTTTCTAGTTATTATTATTATTATTCTTTTTATGCGCCCGGATTGATAGATACGGGGCGTATATTGTTTTTGTCCTGTCTGTTTGTTTTTCAACCAAACAGGATAACTTTTGAACCATGAAAGATAGAGACTATATTTGGTATGCATACTCCAACAATTAAGCTCTTTCATGCACATGCAATTGCCATGTGACCTTGACTGTGATCTATATGCTAAAAATAGCTTTTTATCTGCAAACTTTAACCTTCACCATAACTTTTGAACTATGAAAGATAGGGACTTCATATTTGATATGCATACTCCACTAATTAAGCCCTTTCAAATGAAGTCAAGGTCAATGACCTTGTGAACTTGCCTGTGACATGTATGCTAAAAATAGTTTTTCGTACCTTTGCCATTTTCAACCAAACAGGACTGCATATTTAGTATAGCATACTCACTAATTAATTTCTTCTACACCAGGTCAATTACCTTGTGACTTTGACTGTGACTTTTATGCTAAATATAGTTTTTTCGTACCTTTGCCATAACTTTTGAACCACAAGAGATAGAGACTTCATATTAGGTACCCATACTTTACTAATCGATTTCTTTCAAATGACATCAAGGTCATGACCTTGACTGTGATATATATGCTAAAATAGCTTTTTTAGAATTTTGTTGCCGCCGGGCGCATAGTGTTTCACAACCACATCTTGTTTCTTCTTATTTCTTCTCCGGTACTTTTTTGTCCGCGAATGTTCTCAGAAACTGTTCACCCAACTGAGCTAAAACCTTTTTAGGGTTAATTGGTGTGTAGTGTAGGTGGTCGGAAAAGGTCATTTTGCGCGCATAAATTGCATAAAGTGAAATTACTTATATACTTAATGTAGCTTAACTTTTACATTTTTTGATCTTGTTTCTTCTTATTTCTTCTCCGGTACTTTTTTGTCCGCGAATGTTCTCAGAAACTGTTCACCCAACTGAGCTAAAACCTTTTTAACAATTAGCCTGATATTTAAAGTTTGTACTTTTTTTGTATATATTTTTAGTATTACTTTAGCTTAATTAAAATTCAAATCAAAAAATTAATCTGCTTTTTTGGCGCTACAGTACATTTAATATGACCTTCTTGCACTGAAATTTGTGTCTTAATTAAAAATAAAATATTTGACGTTTTCCCTCCAATATTTTTATCCGATTAAAGCATGAAACAAAATGAACTCTAAGTTTGTTTAAAAAAAGACACTTAAAAATTGTGATTACTTTCAAATTGCTTCGCTAATCAATTATTTGACCTTTCTGCACTAATAAAAAGTGATTTTTCTGTTTGAAAATTTAATACGCAAGAAAATTATTTTAAAGTCTTAAACTTTTTCTGATTTTAAGCAAAAAGGTCAAATTTATCTTGAATATTTAGAAAAGAATATCAAAAGTGGGGGTATATGGTGTAAATTTTCAGATATTACTAAAAAAGTGTCAATTTTACGTTAAAATTGGCTCAATTTTTTCCCGGATTTTCAGAATATATTGACTATATTTGTCACACTTTGTTATAGAATTCATGTCTTATTTAATGTATATTTCAGAACCAGTATAACACATTTCATTGCAAAAAACAGCTTTGTGTGCAACAAGGATGGGAAAATATGAATCCAAAATTAACAGTACTGTTATAGTTCAAAATGGAAAAACTGATCATTTTCGTCTAAAAAACCTTCCGTCACAAAATATAGTTTGTTAATTTTTTGGAATTTAATCGCGGTTTTTTCATTGGATATAGTTAAATTTGCACTGTAGAATTCAGATATAATATTAGAACTTAGAAATGATGCAGAATTTTATAAATAAAGGACCTGACCAAAATACGCTCAAAATATCAGGATCGAACGTCCTTAAGGTTAATAGGTGTGTAGTGTAGGTGGTCGGAACGAAGGTCATTTTGCGCGCATACGCATGCACGTGCGGGCGCGTGCAACACGTGAAATTACTTATTTACTTAATATCGCTATAACTTTTACATTTTTTGATAATATAATGTGAAACTCATTATATAAGGATATATTAATAGTGTAGATAATATGACACTGTCAAATTAGCACGAACTCACGCGCATGCACGTGCGCTTTGCTCTGGTTGGCTGAAACAAAAACCTCAATATCTTTTCTGTTTTTTTTTTGACGAAATGCTATGAAATTTAAAATATAGGCATACTTTAGAATGTCCTACAATATGATATATAACAATTGTCATGAAAACACGCGCATGCACGTGCGCTGCAATTTGATTGGCTCAAACTCTAAATGGCTATAACTCCCTTGTTTTTCAACCAAACAGGATGGGATTTAGAACATAGACAGACATAATAGACTCCAACAAGAAGGTATTGTCGTCATGCACATGCATGAACGTGCGTGCACGTGTGCTTCGCTCTGATTGGCTGAAACAAAAATCTTTTCTGCTTTTGGACGAAATGCTACGAAATTTAAAACATAGGCATTCTTTATGATGTCCTACAATATGATATATAACAATTGTCATTAAATCACGCGCATGCACATGCGCTGCAATCTGATTGGCTTAAACTTTAAATGGTTATAACTCCCTTGATTTTCAACCAAACAGGATGGTATTTAGAATATAGATAGACATAATGGACTTCTACAAGAAGGTATGGTCATAATGCACATGCTTGCACATGAAATGAGTAAAATTAAAAATACTCTTGAATGAGTGTATTTTTTAACACTTTTGGATTAAATGCTTTGATATTAAGTATATTTAAATATATAGATAGTGTAGAAAAGATGATATGATCATTACGCACATGCATTCACAGGAGCACGCGTGTTATGCTAAGATTTAAATATATTTTGTATTCTTCTCGTTGTTTAATTAAATTGCATAAAGTATGTCTTATTTAATAGTTTTTAAGGGAATATGACATCAAAAGGGAGTTGGAGAGCATTTGAATAAATTCACAATTAGCCCTAGTTAACATTTGTATTTCTTTGTATTTCTTGTATTACTTTAGGTACCAACATATTTAATCTGCATTTGAGAAAGCTTAACCTTCGCTATGTTGCCATACGGGGGCATCAGTGTTTCACAAACACATCTTGTTGATGAATGGTTTTGCCAAGGTTACTAAAGATAAAAAATTCTTTAAAGTGCTTCTCTTTTCTTCCTTTGTTATATGTAAAACCCAGTAGAGCTACAGTCTGGTTGATTTTTATGCCCCGTAAACGAATTTTCGGGGGTGTATAGTTTTTGTCGTGTCCGTCCGTCCGTCTAGCTGTCTGTCTGTCTGTCTGTTTGTCCGCAAAAACTTTAACCTTACCCATAACTTTTGATTTGGTGGAGCCAGGACTTATATTTCACATGCATATTTCTTGTGACAAGACCTTTCATGGGTACCATCAAATTTGACCTTTTGACCTTGACCTTGGAGTTTGACCCACTTTAACAGGAAAATTTTAAACTTTTACTTCGGCCATATTTTTTGAACAGTAGATTCCAGGACATTTATACTTCACAGATGTATTTTTTTGTTGAAAGAATTTTCATTGGATACCAACATCCTTGACCCTTTGACCTTGACCTTGTAAATTTCCGTACTTGTGAAAAAACTTTAACCTTGGACATAACTTTTGAACGATAAGGGATAGGGCTTTCACACTTCATATATGTAATCCTTGTGAGAAGACCCTTCAAAGGATACCAAGAACTTTGACCCTTTGACCTTGACTTTTTTGTTTTACCTACTTTTAAAAAGCAAATCTTGACCATAACTTTTAAAGGGTAGAGCTAGTGCTTTCATACTTTACATATTTAATCCTTGTGACAAGACCTTTCATTTGATAACAAGAACTTTAACCCTTTGACCTTGACCTTGGAGTCTGACCTACTTTTAACAATTTTTAACCTTGGCCATAACTTCTGAACGGTTAGGGCTAGGGCTTCCATACTCTGCATAAGTATTCTATGTGGCAAGACCTTTCATTGGATACCAATTACCTTGACCTTTTGACCTTGACCTTGGAGATTTTTGTACTTATTGAAAAAACTTTAGCATTTGCCTACTTTCAAATTTCACAATTGTTTTTCCATTGAGAATACCTTACTTTGGGTACCAATTAATTAAATTTGCATTTAAAAAAGTATAATCTTTGGCATTCTTTGCTATGTTGCGATACGGGGGCATCAGTGTTTCACAAACACATCTTGTTTTTAAAGAATTGACATGAAGTTTGATATTGTTATTCAACTGTATTACTTAGTTTGGACTGACGGCACAGAGGAGGGACACCAAGGTCGTTGGCAATGGAGTGCGATCTCAGAAGACATTCATAAGTAATTCAATTACGGGTCTTCCTCTGTCAGCTCATTTTCAACATAAACAATCATTAGTATATCTGTCGTGTATGGAAAAAATAAGTTGAATTAATTCTTTGAACAGTTTTTTTTTTTTATAAATTTATGCTTAATCGGGTACGCTAATTTTTTCTGAATGTCACTTCCTACAGTTTTCGTCCGTCGTCGTTCGTCGTGCGTCGTTCCTTATGCGTTAACATTTGAACATTTTCAGCTTCTTCTCTGAAACCACGGAACCAATTTCAACCAATTTTGGCATATAGCATCTATGGGTAAAGGGGAACAAAAATTGTGAATTTCATGGTCTCTGCCCCCCTGGGGCCTGGGGGTGGGGCAAAAACCACTAAAATTAGTTCAATCTTTAAAATCTTCTTCTTTACTCCTGGACATCAAGCATTCAAACTGTTGGTACGATTGTAATGAGCATTGAGTCCTCTACCAAAATTGTGAAATTCATGGCCCTAGGGTCAGGGGTCCTAGTGCTAGGGTGGGGCTAAATAGGTTATATAGTGAAAGTGCATTATTTTTTTGAAATTATTCCTTTCTGCTTCTGGGCATTAAATAAACTAACCAAGTGCACAGTTTAGTTGAAAATGTCTGCCTCTTTCAAAATTGTGAATTTCATGGCCCCAGGGTCAGAGGTCTAGTGCTAGGGCGGGGCTATATAGATTATATAGTGAAAATGCATAAATTCTTTGAAATTCTTCTTCTCTGTTTGTGGGCATTAAATAAACTAACCAAGTGCTCAGTTATGGTGAATAAGGCTGCCTCTTCCAAAATTGCGAATCTAATGGCTCCAGGGTCAGGGGTTCTAGTGGCAGGGCGGGGCTATATAGGTTATATAGTGAAAATGCATAAATTCTTTGAAAATCTTCTTCTCTGCTCATGGGCATTAAATAAACTAACCAAGTACATAGTTATGCTGAATAAGGCTGCCTCTTTCAAAATCGTGAATTTCGTGGCCCAAGGGTCAGGGCTTCTAGTACTAGGGCGGGGCTATAAAGATTATATGGTAAAAGTGAATTATTTCTTTGAAAATCTTCTTTTCTCTCCTGGGCATGAAATAAACTAACCAAGTGCCTAGTTATGTTGAATAAGGCTGCCTCTTCCAAAATTGTGAATTTCATGGCCCCTGGGTTGGGGGTTTAGGTTTTAGGGTGGGGTTCTATTGATTATGTAGTGAAAATGCATAAATTCTTTAAAAGTCTTTTTTCCTGATTTTGGGTATTAAACCAGTGAACTATGTACATAGTTATGAGGAGGAAAGATGCCTCTTTAAAATTTGTGAATTTCAGGGCCCCTGGGTCAGGGCTTCTTGTGTTAGGGTTGGGCTCTAATGTTTATATAGTGAAAATGCATGAATTTTTTGAAAATCTTTTCCTTTGCTCCTGGGTATTATGCCAGTGATCTTATTACATATTTATGACGAAGAAAGGTGCTTCTTCCAAAATTGTTAATTTTCCGGTTCCTGGGAGGTACTTGGGGGGATACATAGTCTGAAAATAAGTTAATGCTTTGAAATCTGCATTTTGGTATTAATCAAGAACATAATGAAATAAAATGAAATTCATAAAATTTCCAAATTTTTGAAAGATGTGGCCCTGGAGTCAGTGGTTCCTGTGGGATGGGGTGCACAACTGATAGAGTGGAAATGCATTTTCTCTTTGTTTCTCTGATCTACCTCTGGATATTAAGTAACCAAAGTAAGCATGCTAAGTGTAAAGTAACAGTCTGTTATGATAAGCAATGTTGCCTCTTTCAAAATTATAAATTTCATGGTCTCTGGATTAAAACACAAATCAAATTCAATTGTTGGAAAGTTGTTACATGATACTCAGGTGACCTATAAGGCCCATGGGCCTCTTGTTATTTATGTGAAAAATACCAGACTGATTACGAAAACCCGGTTTGCTGTCATAACAGTTTTTTCATTGATATTTTGCTTACAGGAAATATTCCAATATAAGATACACACATTTTAATTATTTAGTCGACTCAGATTTTGTGACATTATGCATCTCCTCATTTTGAGCACACTATCAACTGTGTTAGATTCACGATTCACATTACTTTTATTAAATAGTATACGAGGGGTAAAAAGTTCGCGAACTAATTGAATAACTTCCATAAATGAAACAATATTGGTTTCTGTGTTGATTTTATTTTAAATTAGCCCTCTCTGATTTTAATGCATATCTGCCACCGTTCTGTTCATGTGTGAATCACGTGATATAGGCGGTCACGTGACCCCCTCCCTAGCTTTCTGTCACAAAAACTGAAAATTTTTTCTGACTTTTATATTTCTTTCCGTGTAAGTTAATTTTTATTACAAAAACAGCTCATTTGTCAGAAATGGTCAAATCTCGGCAACAGAATGCGTGAATAAGAATATCCTTTCCAAAAATAAGCATGACGACCATCAAAACCGAAATCTTCTGTCTCTGGAGAGACGTTTATTCAAGATGGAAAGAGAATGGGTGCCTACTTTTTATCATATCTAATATGTTTAAAATCTAAATTAAACGATATCCTAGGTATTTAATAATTATATTATTGTTAAGATATTCAATTATTTGGCAAAGTGTAAATTGGAGGTCTTTGATAGCAAATTGCTTAATTAAAAACACATGTCTTTTCAAAATTGCTTTCACTGGGCAACGTAACAAATATCATTTTTAACCATCTGCCGTCCTTCACTAAAACGATCAATCCGATCACTGTTTAAATTTATAGGAAGTCCTTTGTCTTAATAAACTTTTTACAAATTATTAGACGCTACTGCAAAGGATTTTCTAAGATATCCCATAAATTTTACAGTCGTTCGTTGAACGAGTACGACTGACACAATCACTTTTTTGTCACAAGTGACCTACATAGTGACGTCATTTTCACATTGTGTCGTCACAAATAAAGAGCAAAACTTTATTCAACATATGCTATTTATAGAACTTGTGTATGGCTATGTTTGTACCAAATTTTTTTTCTAATCTGAATTGTGGCTTTGTATATATAGAGATAGTTTGCGAACTTTTTGATCACCCCTCGTATCTGATTTATGAAATGTTGCGACATTTGTTTCTATTTATATACATAGAGGATCCAGTTTATTGAGGGAGGCAGTGACGTCTGATTTTCAGAGTAAGGGAAGTAAGTTTTCCTTTGATCCCTTGTAGTGATCTCTGGCTAGACGGGGAACCAAACAACTACCTGCGGATGAAAGAAGACTGCATGGAAACTGGAGATAAGTATGGCTGGAGATGGAATGACGCGCCATGTTCGTGGCAAAATAGAAGTACACATATCGTTTGCGAGAAGCCAAGCCCCAATTTTGGTACTGTCTTTGGTTGATCACTGTCCCTAATGTTTCAATGGATAAAAAATGTTTAGGAGTCCATTTGTCATATAATACATTAATTTTAAAAAAAGTTTTTTTCTTCATATTTTTTATTAACATATGTTCACAAGGATGGTCGCAAAATTGTGAGTGGAAAAATTGCTAAAATAACTTTTTTTGATAACAAATGTATTAACAAATAATTTGAAAAGTGATCAATATAAAATTAAATTTTTTTTTAGGTCAAATGAGTCCCTCAGGTGACTAATTGCTATCTCTTCCGTCGTCTCCGTCGCCGTGCGGCTGTGCGTCGTTCGGGCGGGCGTAAACATTTATCATAAAGAACTACTGAACCAATTTTATTCCAATTTGCCTCAAAGTTTCGAATTCTTCGGCTGAAGGAGGTAAAAATTTGTTCAAATGAAGGTCAATTTCTTCTTCCAAGGGGAAATAATAAAGAAAAGACAAAAAATAGGAAGGGGTCATTCAAAGGTTTTCTTCTCAAGAACCATTTAGTCATAAGAAATGAAAGCAACGTGAAAGCTTCCTTAAATATTTTGGATTCAAGTTTGCTCAAATTATGGTCCCTTTGAATAGGGTGTGGCCAAAATTGGAGATCAAAATTTAATATAGGGGTTTATGAGTAAAACATTAAAAAGCTTTAAAGTCTTCTTCTGAAGAGCAGCGGTGTCATCGATAACAGCAGAGTCATTGACAGTCATGTATAAACAGAAACAGACGTCAGGTAGTGTAGAATACAAGATTCTTTTTTGTGCATGATAATGGGAATAGGGCTACCATGAGGGATTAAATATTTGTAGTGTTGGCAAATCGGACGATTTTTAGTAACCGGTTACTCGCTCAATCTTCCGATCGAGTACCCGGTTACTCGGATGATTTATTCATATGTATCATTTATCTCATCTTTTACTCATCAGTTCCAATAAAACACAAAGGTTTTGTGAATTAACTTTATTTATAAACTTAAAAAGAACACACACGCAATATCTTGAACTTTAAATATAATTATAATCAAAAAATTAATTTAATCAGTAGAAAAACAAATATTCAATGTTTCACGCTATTTTACAATGGCGTTCATCAGTTTTACTTTTCAACCCCCGATATATGTCAGGATCAATGAGAATAATCATTTAGAAGTTTGAAGTCACGGTAACTCCAATTCACATTAATTACATTTCACAGGTATGGAATCAGCTGTTCTTTTAAAATACTCCCAAGCTATAAATGTACATGTCTTTGGCGGCATCTCGTTAAATTATTTAATGAGATAATTATAACTTGGGTCTTCAAAACTTGTTTAACCTGCTAGAAATCAAAGCTATCAATTAAGTGTGAAAACCAATCAATCGTATTAGTGAAACCATAGATCATTAAGTCTAACGGTAGAGAAAATTGGCTGCATTTCATTTCCGGAATTTTGAGTAATTATCAACTTTTCATTTCCGACATTTTTTAGTTTTCATTTCCGACATTTTTTTTGTTTTCATTTCCGACATTTTTCAGATTGTACCTTTAGTAACAGATTTGAAGACTTTACCTATGAAAAATCTAAAGGAAAACATATAGTTTTTTGTAAATTTATCAATGAATCAACTGTAGCAAAATGAACACAACTACCTTAATTAAAGTTTGAGAGATTGACTCAATGTTTACTGAATTACTCTGCGCAGATGTAAAGCAGAAAAAATTAAGTTCTGTGTAACAAGTGCATTATCAACCGGAGTAAAAACTGGATAAGAGTACATCAAGTGTCTTGGACAAAAGTTTGGTGCTGTCACTGACATTTACTTAAGTGCACATTAGCCTAAATGAGGGGAAGAAGTTGTATGTTCATTGAATTCTTTAACCTAGACTTATATATTGCTACTTGTATGCATATATGTATATAATAAATAGATTTTTTTAAAAATATATTTTAAATAAATATTTTGCAATAAATACATTTAAGATTTCATTTTCGCTGACTAGGAAAACATTAAATTGCTGCACAGGTAAATTCCGGAAATGAAAACAAAATTATGTCGGAAATGAAAACAAAAAATGTCGGAAATGAAATAAAAAATTGTCGGAAATGCTATGCAGATTTCCGGAAATGAAATGCAGCGAGAAAATTAGAGAAATGTTTATTTGTACGCTTATAAACAAACTAACATTTTATTTTTTAGTTATTTACCATACAAGATGCATTTTATCCGAGTAACCGAATAGCAATTTTACTAACCGATACTCGCATCGTTCGACGGTTAACCGGTTAACCGGGTACTCGTTGCCAACACTAAATATTTGAATACTGAATTACCCTTGGGGGTGTAAATTTGGAAAAAAAAATTATCAAATTCTGCTAGGTTACAACAGAGGAATTACTGTGGGTAATGATATGCCAGCCTAGTCATTTTTCCAGTCATCGTAGGAGATGGGGAAGGAACAGAATTGGGGATAAAATTCTATATAGGAATAAGAGAAAATCTTATTCTTGTTTACGTATTTCTATTTTATTTACTCATCAATTTACAGGGGACAATTGCAAGGTGCATAAATATAATAACTATTACAGAGTTCTCAACAAACTATTAAATGCATGTGATAATAGTCTAGCCATTTACGATGGGCTCAAAGTTGATATAGCCTAAAAAAAACTCTTGATACTCCTTTGACCATTACGGTCCATGGGCCTCTTGTATTCTTTAAACTGAACAAAAGTTTCTTTCCGTGTTTTGCACAAGGTTAATTTTTTTAAGTATTTGTTGAAATCGATGTGACTTTGATAAATTTTTTTGCTCAGTTGGAATTTTCACAACAAAAATACATCATGATTTTAGTTTTTAGGTCACATGGTCACTCAGGTGACCTATAGCTATCCGTTTTCGTCCGCCAGCATTCGTCGTTCATCGTGCGTGATTATTTGAGCATTTTTTGCTTTTTCTCTGAAACCAATTTTGCCGTATGGCATCTATGGGTAAAGGGAAACAACAATTTTGAATGACATGGTCTCTGTCCTCTTGGGGTCTGAGGCGTGGAGCCAAAACCTCTAAAATAAATGCAATCTTTTAACATCTTTTTTACTCCAGGACATCAAGCAATCAAACTGTTGGCATGATTGTAATAAGCAATGAGTCCTCTACCAAAATTATGAAATTCATGACCCAGGGTCAGGGGTTCTGGTCCTAGGGTGGGGTTATTTATACATTACAATAAGCAAGGATATTTTTACCAGATATTTGAAATTCTTGGGCAATATTGTTTCGTCTTTCAGTTAATTTCTTTTATACTTTTTATGAATCCTTTACAATGTTGTGTTTTACATATTCACTCAAGTGACTGTTTAGGCCCTAAGGCCTCTTTTTACATGGTATAATATAAAAAAATGTGAGATAGCTTCATCCTTTAAAATGGAAGAGCACGTTAAAACAAAGATTGGATGAAAACATTTCAGAGAATCCCGTGTAATTACTTTTCCTTTTGTGGGGAAGTATAAGAAAGACCCATATAATCTCGTAATTTGAATATTTATAAGGGATTTGAGAATATGGCGCATGACTGGTCAATATTTGGCTAATGAGATAAAATGGAAAATCTGTTGATAATAGCTACACAGGAGAAAAACAAGTCGCAAACTAAATCTTAACGAATGAGACACGGTTATTTTACACTCTATGATATCTTCTCTTTTCCTTTTAATTAATGGATCTTAAATATGAAAATAGTCGAAAGATTCAGATTAATTTTTTATTGTTCACTGAAGTGTTGGGGAAAAGTAGTTTTATTGGTTAGAAAGATAATATATATAAACAAAGCTGTGTAAATGTGCCCTGTTCCAGTTAATTAATTTACTCATCTAAAAGAAGTAAAATGAATGATGTTGGGAGTCTTAGGCTTTATTTTATGTATTTTAAAGGGCATGGGTTAGTGCTGTTTGTAATAGTGCGCCTGATTTGTGATCTGAAGGTCCCGGTTCAATTCCCTTCCGCCTCACGGGTCTTTCGGGTAAGACCTTAAAACGAGGTAACTTGTTCGGGAGGCGTTTAAACGACAAAAAACCCACACTACTCAATGGTTCTGAGTTCCAAGCATAGCCTCTCTGGTATATGGTGACGAATAAACGGTGTATATATTAAGTGAAATATTCTGGAGACGAACAACAATAATTCATTATATTAGTTGAGAAAATTCTGAAATTCTATATTTACAATATATATTATATACTTGTATTTTCCTAAACTCTGTATCATTTTTTCTTAAGATACAATAAAAAGATTTACGCAATACGTCTTGGTTTCTAGTTAATTTAAAATTGTTTTCCAAGACAGAAGAACCGTTATGATTTCTTTCAAGAATTCAAATTTCTTCTCTATTTCCAACATATCCTAACCTAATAGAGGGTTTAAGTTATCTGCAATTTGTTCTTTGGCGTAATAAGGCAATCAAAATGTATGTAATACATAAAATATGTCAGTTTAGATCGCGCCTGGTTAAAGATTCTTGGCATCGGATAAAAAAAGGCTGCCTGTGTCAGTAACTAATTACAGCCTTATTCCAGTTCTCCTATTCCCCAAATCTCATGAATACACATTTTGCTTATTTATAATACAACTTGTCGCGAGTTCGTATGAGTATACCATCATACGGGCAACTACAACGACAGCAGAACATTGACACAAATGGTTCAGTTACGAAAGGCAGCGATACTTCAAAACGATCTTAACATTTCTTTGCGTGATTTTAATCATATAAGTTTTATAATATCTAAATTAAAGTACCATTATCAGCGACTGTGTTAAAAAGATAACAATGTCAAAACTTTCGCTGTTCTTCATCTAAGTTAAGAGGATGATGACGTTGTTTCCCTGGAAAAGGGAATAGTTTTTATACGGAAATCTTTTTGCAAGTCTAACATGGCTCCTGGCGGGACGGCTCTTGTTGATGGAGTAGCGATTGTTGAGAAGACTAAACAGGCCGTTGAAAGGGAGAGATGGGAGAAAAAAATTGAATTCCTGTTAGCAGTTGTGGGGTTTGCCGTTGATTTGGGAAATGTCTGGAGATTTCCGTACATTTGCTTCAAAAATGGTGGAGGTAAGTATTGATGTTGCTTATAAACAATTTCAAACATACACCATCTTTATTCACAACTTTTACATTCTAACTATGTATTAGGTATATATCCGATGTAGTTGTGTATCATAAGATGAAAAGTATCATAAATGTACATGTGAAAGTGTTATATCAATAAAAAAAAAGTGACCTTGGACCGGACCACTGGAAAACGCAGACCCCCCTCTCCCTTGGAAACGCGGATTTGTGTTAAAATTGTTATGAAAAGTCGAGGTTTGTAGTACTGGAAGTCAACGACGACCCCCCCCCCCCCCCCCCCGAATTTTTTGAGCGAGGTTTCCTTTATTTTATTTGCTTGGTAAGAAATTTCTGGTTTGGATTTTTTTTTGGACTGGGGTGGACCCCCCTCCCCTGGAAAAAAATCCTGGATCTGTGCCTGTTTTCTTTTATTGTGTAACAGAGTTTAAAAGTGGCTATGCGTTGTATATAGTGAGGCCACGCTGGAAAAAAACCCTTTAGCTCATTCGGTAGAGCGTTGGATTTTAAATCTGAGGGTCGTGTTTGTGGACTTAATCGGTCATAATTGTAAGCAAGTACAAATTGTACGTCGGGTTCGTTGCCACGATGCTTTCAGTAAGGAAAATACAATTTTTACCGATAAATTTATAAGAAACATATACATGTACTTATGTACTACACATATAGTATAGTCTTTCGTTTTTCCTATACTTATTTATACACCTGTCATTAGAGAAGTTAAGCATTTGACCGTGTACGTCTACTTGTACGTGTAAACCTCGAAGTGATTTTACACGTACGCGTAACTTTGTTATGTTTCAGCAAGGCACTTTGCAATCCATTTGTATCAAATAAATCTATGACTTAAAATAAAAAAGATACATTGGATGTTCGTAATAAACTCTCAACTTCATACTAAATGCCGACTGAAAAATATTTATTCTGTAGTTTGAGTTTAAGAAGCTACAAGTTTTCACCTACGTGTACTTGCGAATCTACACGTTGTGTACAACTTGTAGAATTATGCGGTATGCAAAACTGATGACGTAAATTGCATTAAATTAGGGGATTTGCCTAGTTTCGCATACACATAGACGTACATGGTCATCTGCTTAACCTGCCTATTAACTCGTCTTCGCTGTCAGTATGCAATACATTTAAATTGATTACTACGTACACTGTAATTAAATGCCATTTGTTGAATTATATAATCCTTATATTAATAAATATTAGTGGCTTCCCCGGCATCAATGTGTTTCTGATAATTTCCAAGCATACTTTGTTCGTTTTTAACACTATTGTTTTTTTTTTATTTATATAACATCATTTGTTGAAAAACTATTTAATCAAATAAACCGTTAATTACATTGTTTACAATTATTTCTTGATTAAAATAAATGTAGCAAAAGGGAGATAACTCTAAATATTTCATGATGTTCTAGAAGCTTTCGTCAATATTGAGATTCGTGATTGACGAAAATTATATGAACTTTTCGCTTTTTAATCGGTTATCACAACTATTTTCTTTTATATCATTTAAATCAAGTTTTGATTGAATAATTCAGTGATGACATTTTATGAAATTAATAATCGATTGTTTGTGTTGTCAGTTTCATTACAATTTGCCAGTAGCTTAGATCCGCCAACCGGAAACGCCACCATACTCACGTTCATGCTATCTTATGGCTGTTTTTAGAAAATTGAAGTAGACTTTTAATTTTATGTACGATACTTACTATCCGAGTGAAATCTAAATATAGTTTACGGACATCATCTTGTATGTAGTGTAGCATTAGAGGAGTAAGTAAGAACTCTGGTGCACACGTTTTGGGGCTTATTTGCAAAATTTATTAATTTATAAGTATAGATATGGCTAATGTATCCTCGTGCTCTCTAAACAAAAATGTCTGATGACCCTTTTTCTTCTTTGCTTGTCAAGAAATTTTTTGTAGTTGAAAGTGCCTCCAACTGAAAGTATATCGGCTGTGCCCCCCCCCCCCCTTCCGCCAACCAACTGAAATTGCTTCCTATGGGCCGGTTTTTCGGAACAAGCCACAAAAGGGGATTGCCTTAAGCAAGAACATAATTATTATATAAGGGAAAATTCTAAGAAGATTCAGTTGTGAAAATTTAAGGTTTAGAATGACTTTTATTTTCGTTTAAAGGAATTTTGGTTATGACAGTAAGTGAATAAAGAAAACAACAAAAATTATTCGGAAAGAAAGACATTGATTTTTATTTTTAATGTGTACACTGTATTACATGTTAAGCATACATTGTATCTTTGGTAACTTGAAATGAATTGTTAAAATCTTTGTTTAAGTGTTACAGTGTATCTAATTGATGATATTTGTGAGTCATTGTACAGTGTATCTAATTGATGATATTTGTGAATCATTGTACAGTGTATCTAATTGATGATATTTGTGAGTCAGTGTACAGTGTATCTAATTGATGATATTTGTGAATCATTGTACAGTGTATCTAATTGATGATATTTGTGAGTCAGTGTACAGTGTATCTAATTGATGAGGTTTGCGAGTCAAGGAAACGAACGACCTCAATATTTTATTGCTTGTGCTTTTGTACGAGAATGAAAATTGAAGAGGCTTTGCAAAACAAAATTTTGAAGTTGAGCTTTATGTTTAAATTCAAACATTTCTAATGGAAACCGGTCTAGTGGTAGGGTGCCTAGTGGTAGGGTGTTTACTTCGTGATCGGAAGGCCCGGGTTCGATTTATTTAAAGTCACCTAAGTAAACTCAGGTGACCTATTGCTATCCGTTTTTATCCGTCGTCGTGCGGTATGCGTTCTTCAGCTTCTTCTCTGCAACCGCTCAACCAATTTCAAACAAATTTGGCATTAAGCATCTATGCGTCAATTTCATGCTCCCTACCCCCATGGGCCTTAGGGGTGGGTCCAAAACCACTAAAATTAATGCGATCTGTAAAAATCTTCTTCTTTACTCCTGAACATCAAGCAGTCAAACTGTTGGCATGATTGTAATCAGCATTGAGTCCTCTACCAAAATTGTGAAATTCATGGCCCTTGGGTCAGGGGTTCTAGTGCTAGGCCGGGGCTAAATAGATTATATAGTGAAAATGCATTATTTCTTGAATTTGTTGAATAAAGCTGCCTCTTCCTAAATTGTGAATTTCATGGCCCAAGGGTCAGGGGTTCTAGGGCGGGGCTATATAAATTATATAGTGAAAATGCATTTTTTTTTGAAAAACTTTTTCTTTACACCTGGGCATTAAATATACTAACCAAGTACATAGTTATGATGAGCAAGTAAGTCTTCCAAAATTGTGAATTTCATGGCCCCTGGGTCAGGGGTTCAGGTGTTACGGCGGGCTCTATCGATTATATAGTGAAAATGCATTAATTCTTTAAAAATCTTCTCTGCTCCTGGGTATTAAACCAATGAACTACATGTATGTACTACATAGTTATGAAGAGGAAGTGCGCTTCTTCCAAATTTGTGAATTTCAGGGCCCCTGGGTCAAGGTTCTGGTGTTTGTCAGGGCTCTAATGATTATATAGTGAAAATGCATGAATTCTTTGGAAATCTTTTCCTTTGCTTCTGGGTATTATGCCAATGATCTAAGTAAATATTAATTCCATTATGCACAAAGGACAAAATACCCTCCTCCACTTCGTGACAACTCTCCTGCAAGGAGATAATAAATCAAAATATGAAAAAAATTGGTTGATGTGAGATATAATAATGTTGCGTTGATCTCATTTGTATGACAATGAAATCACATTGTTAAAGAAAACAAAACGTGTTCTCTTTATCTTTTCGTTCAGGTGCCTTCCTCATCCCTTACCTTGTCATGTTGATCTTCTGTGGATTGCCCCTGTTTTACATGGAACTGGCTTTAGGCCAATTTCAAAGATGTGGTTGCCTAACTGTATGGAATCGAATATGTCCCGCATTTAAAGGTATGTATTCAAGGTTCCCGTATGACAAGGGAAATCAAATATTACCAGTATGTAAAATTAATTCCTTGTAATCTAATACAAGGAAATCTAAATCTAATCTAAAACAACGACACTAATATAATTACGAATAGAATAAACATGTATTTAAAATAGTCATGATTTGGCTTTCAATCAAAAAGATACAAATATACTCAATGAACATTATCAATCTTTTGTTTAAAGAATTGATATTTTCTTTCCATTTATAGAACTCTTCAAGCTAGAAGCGCGTTTAAGTCTTCTGACGGGGATAGCCATATTATGCGGTAAACAAGTAGGGCTGTTTAAAAAAAAAATTACCGTCTTTAGCAAAACCCTTAAACAGTAAACTGATTTACACCTATCAGGCCGAATAATTCTTGAGAATTTCTTGATTTTTTTTTTGTGTATTTCTTAGCTTTTTACTGGCATTAGCCCTACCACGGTTGTCGCTCGGCTTAATCAAACAAGAAAGGGGAAAAGAATAAATACAAATTGTAAAGCTTTCAGGCAATAAAAATCAAACTTTATTTACAGTGAAATAAAAATCTTTTTAGTTATTGCTATAAAAATAGGGTGTTATTTAGAATTAATTTCTGCCATTTTCATTGTTCATTTTGTCATGTTTTTTACGATTGAAAATCATGAAAAATTGTTGAGTCGTACGAAAATTAGATCATCACAAAATTAAATCCATTGCCTTGAACAGCATTTCAACCAATGAAATAATTGAAATTGATTTTTCATGATACAATTTCTACCAATCACAAAAGACAGGAAGTGCAAAGTCCAAAGACTGTAAAAAAAACTTCAGCTCAATATTACCGTCTTCCAGTCTCAATCCTACTTTGAACGTTTAATGTATTTGTCATTCCAATTAAAAATTAGAAGAACTAACAGAAGTCTGCTAGAAAGCAAAAACCTTTAATTCATCATCTATTAATAAATTAAATTTAAAAAGTTAGATTCCAGATCATCGCTAAAACATACATAAATTATTTACTTCCCAAAACAGTAAACATTGGTATTAACATTAAAGATCGTATACGGATTTAGATTCGGACCACCTATACGTAAGTCTTTCAAGCTGTTGATATTTCAATTTTTCAATGTTTAGTGTCATACATTAAAAAAACATATTCAGTTTTACAAATAACCTTTTTTCCAGGTCACCTGAGTCACTCAGGTGAAGATTGCTATTGCTATCCTTTTTATCCTGCGACGAGCCAAACTCAGCCAATTTTTACTTACATTATCTGAGAATAAAGGGAAATAAAAATGGTTAATTTCATGGTACATGATGTGAACCCATTGAAATAAATGCAATTTTTATAAATCTTCATTTTTACTCCTTGACATCATATAAGCATTTAATCTGTTAGCATGATTGTAATGAGCATTAAGCCCACTACTAAAATAAGAAATTCGTGGCCTCAGTGGTCAAGGATTTTTGCAGGAACGTGGGTCATTGAAGATTATATTTATAGTGAAAATAAAATCTTCCAAAAATCTACTCTGCTCTTGTTGACCCTGCAGACTACTCGAGAACATAGAAATCTTTCCAAAATTGTTGAATTCCTGGCTTTAGAACCATGAGCCCTTATACTGAGCGAGGTTCTACGGGTTCTGTGAAAAATATCTGAAAAAAAAATCTTTTTAGCTAGCTATTCCAGGGTATAAGAATGCAATATGCTTCTTCCAATTTAATAAAAATTCAGGCCCTTTGGTCCGGGGCTTCGGAGTAAGGTGGGATTCTATTGTTCATTTAGAAAAATACAATAATTCCGTGAAAATATTATTCTCTTCTTCTGGGCATTTAGTAAACAAACAATATGAATGGTTAGTGAAAATGCACTATTTCATCTAAAAACTTACATTCGACTATGGCAAGCCCTTTTGCTTTTTATTCGGAAAATAAAATTTATTTAAAATAATTACAGAGATATCTCTCATTTTAGAGAGATATCTTTTAAAAAATAAGAATATCTCCTAACTTCAAGAGATATCTCTCATTTTTAAGAGATATCTCTAAGAGAAAGAGCTATCTCTTAAACTGAGAGAGATATCTCATACTTTGAGAGATATCTCTTTTTAGAAGAGAGACATCTCTTCCACATGAAAAGATATCTCTTTCTACTTGAGAGATATCTCTTTCGTGAAAAGAGATATCTCTTAACGTTAAAGAGATATCTCTTTCATCTAGAGAGATATCTCTTTTACTTTTGGAGACATCTTTTCAAGTTAAAGAGATATCTCTTATAAAGTTAAAGAGATATCTCTCTTCGTTTATCTTAAGAGATATCTCTCACTGTGAAAGACATATCTTTCAAAAGTTCTAAAAGAGATATTTCTCAAGCAAAAAGAGATATCTCTTTATTGCAAAGAGATATCTCTCTTCTTTATTTTTATTTAAATTCTGTTGGAAATGACCTCTCCCTTAATTTACCTGATGTAAGCTTTTTATTCACGGAAGTACATTAAAGTATTTTTAAATTTCGACATATTCATAAAATTCTTCATTATAGCTTTACTTAACATGACGACTAATTCAGTGTTGTCTAGATTTCAAATTAGTACTACTTGATTATTTCATAAGCTGAGAAAATTCGGTCCGTTACTTTTGAGATTTTATGCTTACTTTCGTTTTCCTGGATATAAAACTTTCCTCATTTCTATCAAAGAAGTTGCCAGTATTATTTGTTGTTTCAAACAAGGGATTTAAAGCATTTTTTCTACATAGTATATATAATATTCTTGTATTGCATGCAACTCAGTCTTTTTTCTTATAACAGCGAAATTATTCCAGAGACTAAATTTTTATACTTCCTGTTTCGCTTTTGTTTTAAAGGGGAGAATTAATTATTTTATTTAAAGAATGACTTGAAAAGAGATATCTCTTTCATTAAAAGAGATATCTCTTTAGCTTTGAAAGATATCTCTTTTTGAAAATCTGAAGAGATATTTCTCTAACTAAGAAAGATATCTCTTTTAACCTTGTTAAAGAGATATCTCTCGCTTAAAGAGATATCTCGCTAGCTTATAAAGATATCTCTCTAAATAAAAGAGATATCTCTCTTACAAAAAGAGATATCTCTTCCGTTTAAAGAGATATTTCTCTATTAGTCAAAGAGATATCTCTATTAGTCAAAGAGATATCTCTATTAGTCAAAGAGATATCTCTATAAGCTAAAGAGATATCTCTCTTTTTGAAAGACTTTTTTTATTTCACGAATAAATAGTTAAAGGGCTTGCCATATTCGACACATCTACGTGTGTTGTATTTAGCAGAAAAAATAAGTATGTATTACTTTAAACAATTTGAAGTCCATGCCCCCAGGGAGGTGTAGTAGGGCTCTATTGATCATTTAACGAAAATGCATTTATTCTTTTAAAAAAACTTTACTTCTCCCTGCTCTAAGTTCATGGTTATGACCAAATAATTATCATTGATAATCTGAATCTGGATTCGATATGGTCATAAAATATTTTCAAATTAGCTATACCTAATCTGTAACTTTATTTAATTATCTAAAGGCATACAAATAAAAAGTTCCCAAAGCAACCTACTGTCCTTAATTAGTAGTATTGTACCCAGATTTTTATCGTAAGGGTACATAAATACATTTAGGATTCATTTGCAATATATTGGATGCTGACCGTTCTTTAAAAATTATTTTCAGGGATAGGATTCGCCATCATTGTCATAGCAACCTACATTTCATGGTACTACAATACGATCATTGCTTGGTGTGTGTATTATTTCTTCTCCTCCATGCGCGAAGACGTACCCTGGAAGACCTGCAACAATGAATGGAATTTACAAGAACAGTGTATGAGATATCCAACCGACGACAGACTGAATGAGACCACCCAGTTGTTTTGTTACCAGGGTGCAAATGCCACGTCGTGTATCTTCAAAAACCAAACCCAGACCCCGACAGAACAATATTTTGAGTATAAGAATCATTAATCACAACTTACATCATATCTGATTTTTTTATGCGCCCGGATTGATAGATCCGGGGCGTATATTGTTTTTGTCCTGTCTGTCTGTTTGTCTGTTTGTTTGTCTGCAAACTTTAACCTTCGCCATAACTTTTGAACCATGAAAGATAGGGACTTCATATTTGGTATGCCTACTACACTAATTAAGTTCTTTCAAATGACACCAAGGTCAATGACCTTGTGACCTTGACTGTGACATGTATGCTAAAAATAGTTTTTTCGTACCTTTGCCATAACGATTCAACCATAGAAGATAGAGATTGCATTTTTAGTATGCATTTTCCACTAATTTCTTTCAAATGACACCAAGGTCAATGACCTTGACTGTGACCTTTATGCTAAACATAGTTTTTTCGTACCTTTGCCATAACTTTTGAACCGCAAGAGAAAGAGACTTCATATTTGGTATCCATACTTCACTAATCAATTTCTTTCAAATGACACCAAGGTCAATGACCTTGACTGTGACATATATGCTAAAAATAGCTTTTTAAAAAGAATTTTGTTGCCGACGGGCGCATAGTGTTTCACAAACACATCTTGTTAAAAATAAGTAATAAACTGATAAAGATGTAACCAATCACTAAATTTTTATGCTCCCCTTCGAAGAAGGGAGAGCATATTGTTTTGCCGCTGTCTGTCGGACGGTCGGTGGGTGTGTCGGTCCACCATCAGTTTCCTTTCATTTCCTTTGCAGAGGTTGTACATATTGAAATGAAATTCCGTAAACAATGTCTAGGCCAGGTTCTGTATATTGAAATGAAATTCCGTAAACAATGTCTAGGCCAGGTTCTGTTTTGGGTACGATCTAGCCATTTTAGACAGAGTTATGCCCCTTGGACTAAGAAAAAATTCCAATTATTTGCAGTTTCCGTTGATTTTCTTTGCAGAGGTTACACATATTGAAATGAAATATGATACACAAATTAATCTAAGAATATCTAAGTCAAGTTTTGTTTTGGTTACGACCGAGCCGTTTTGGATAGAGTTATGCCCCTTGGACTTAGAAAAGTTCCAACTATTTGGGGGAGGGGGCATAAGTCTTTTACAGACAGCTGCTTTTTCTATTTTTTTTGCTAATGCTTTCAGAGGAGTGTTTAACCAAATAATCAATTTATTATAAAAATAATATTAAATATTAAATTCAAATTAAATTTATTTCAATTTGAAAAGTACTTAGTTCCTTTCTGATTTTTAAAATTTTTGTTCACTCGATGTAATTCAATTTCAACAGAAGAGAGGTTTTAGGACTACAGTACGCTGATGGCATAAACTATGTAGGAGGCGTAAATTGGATGATTGCTCTGTGTCTTCTTGGAGTGTTTGTTATCGTTTATTTTGCCATGTGGAAGGGGATCAAAAGTTCGGGCAAGGTATCTCCATCAAAACACTATTCATAAAATTATAAAGATGTAAAAACAAACTTTTATAAGATATCAAATGTAGAACTGCGACACGTATTACGTGAAATTATTTACGTGCGTCAGAGTGAATTAAGGAATCAATGTCTAGTTAATTAGAGTTTGTCAGGGCATCAACGATAAAAGGAAATTTGGGATAATTTGCATAACGAGCAAGCGGTTATGCATAAATTATCCCACGTTTCCAACTATCGTTCATGTCAATTTCAATAGTCCCCGAGTGTCTCCATATGAGGAAAAAAAATTCTCGAAAGGGACGTTAAACAACAGTTACATACAATCAATCAATCAATAGTCTTCGACCACTGTCGTCAAATACAAAGACAGCCGCACGATATTTACATGCATATTAGTCCTCCTAAGCTTCTGACAGGGTGACTTTGCGAATTTTTATATTCCGGTAGAATAATCAAGAAATCAACTCGACTAACTTTTAAAGACACATCAGAGAAAAAACAAACAAAATGGAAATATTGCTTAACATTCATCGGGTGGGAGTAATAAAAATAATCGGAACATGACAACTGTTGCTATTTAATAAATTTTGTATATATAAGTTCCCTTAACTAAGAAATTCAAAATAAAGACGGCATACAGTACCATTTTTGTTCTGTCAATGAAACAAACTTTTCATTTTAATTTGATCGTTTCACCGACCGCTGTTAGCGCCTTAAAATTCTATAACCCTTCCAACTTAATAGGCTCTTTTAAGTGCAAACACAAGTCCAAAATACAAAATGTCATAATAAAATGTAGCTAATTCAAAGAATCTGTGTACCCCGCTGAAGGAATGAAAGAAGAGCACGCGCGGATCTGAAGGGGGATGGGAGAGGTGGCACGTTATGTAGGGCAGTTATGGTGTAAAATTTTTCATTTCACTCGCACAGCAGGTTCTGTCGAACGAATGCAAATAAGATGTAGTTGACCCCGCTCACCCTTTGACGTAAGCGGTCCAACATTTCATCAACAGGTCCGACATCTCACATTGCAGTCAAACATCGATCTTCACATGCCTGCTCAGTAAAACATTGGAAATGTTACTAGACTTTTTTTTAGTATAGAACTGTGTATGACACAATTGATTTTAAAAAGATAATTATAACATTTGTAAAATATATGAATCATTCCATTAAAAAGAGATATTACAAAAGGGTTTTTATCCTATAGACTCTTAAAATTCAAATTACATGTATAAGAATTTATTATCATTGTGAAGTATTTTGTAATCCTAAATGCATTTCTTACTAAGGCTTTGTTTCGAACTGCGTTCTAAAAATGCAAATATATTCTTATATGTTTTCGAAATAGTGTTTAATACATTTCGTTAAAATTGATATATGTAAAGTGACTATGAATACGAGGGCTGTTCGGAAATTACGACATTGTGTAAATATTACTTTCTAATGAACGTCTTTAGGTGAAAATTTGCATATACGTTTGACAAACACCAAGAATTCGTAAAAGAAAAAAAATATTTTACAAGTATTAAATTTCTTATCTTCAATGGTCGATAAATATGTCAATGGTAGGGGTACCCGGAGCAGTCACGAAATCAGATATTGAAAATATGTAACAACAACGTTCAAACCCACGGTGGACCCATAATAAAGGCAATAATAATTCAATTTATGTTTATAATTTTTCAATTTTATTTTAACTGCATGCTATATAAGTTTGTTAGAATTCTTATCAGAAATACGGAGATCATTAAAAAAATTAGGCGCAATCAAGAATTCTGATAACGACGAAAAAATGGAATTTGACGTCAAGGCGGAGCAGCGAGAGACTTAAAATTTTGTGTAGCGCTATCTAAAACTCTTTTCCAGACTAACCAATCTGGTCAAACAATAAGAACAATGCTGCAAAACATGTTAAAAGATTGTTATTTCATTGGTTTATATTTTTTTCTAACCAATGATTCAACCACAGTAAAATAAAAAGCTCCGGACGGCTATCAATTTTGACCTAACAGGATCAATAGCGTTGACCCGCGTTGCGTAAATCGGCACCGCATGATGCAAAGTCATCCTGCATATATGACAAATAAAAAGTTAACACTGATAAAGCAACAGCGCATGTTTTTTTTTTAAATTGTTTAAGAAAAGATAATGTTTGATTTTTGTAATACTATAAATGATAACGAAGAAAAAAAGCAAACGCTTCCCGATCGTTTCACATGCGAAAACATCTCCGGCTGACATGACGTTAAAACGACGTAGCGATGCTGCTCCAGGTCGATAAACATATCCATGTTTATACTTTCACCAGAACTTATCTAATTATCCTATGAATTAGAAATTTTGCATATTTGTTTTATTCTTTCATTCTAAAATGTTGACGAATTTTCCCTAATTTATCTCTGCTCTTTATAGAGTTACAGTAAATGTCTCAATAATTTCCGAACAGCCCTCGTATATTTAAAGTTTTAAACATACAAATTATTTAGCTGCTGAACTGAAGCTCTCTGAAAAAATATATTGAAAGACCGGAGAGCTACTGTGTCACCCATTGAAAAAACTGTACATTTATTGCGCACAAAAAAGTGCGCTGTTTCTCGATTTATTTCACCATGTTTTTAAAACTGTCATCTCAAAATATTACAAACCGCGTGTTCCTAACATTTTCTTTGACTGTTTCCACCACAAAGCATTCCATATAAGTGTTGTTTGTAGTACTCCTGACTCTGAAATTGAGGCCATCAAAAATTTCGCTTGTTTATAATGCCATTTTGGTTTGCAAGATAATTCCGCCCAACGCGCTTCGTGCAGATATAAACTACGAGAGTACTTGAAAGAGGAGTAAGGAGTTTTTTGAAATGTAGCTTTTTTTGCAATTGAGGTATGAATTTCAAAGAATGAATCCAGAACCGAGGGCACTTTTTTGTGCGAAGTAAACAAAATACAATTTTTTTCAATGGGTGGCACTGTAGCTCTCCGGTCTGTATACCTATTTTTTTTTTCGGACAGCTACAGTTCTGCCGCTACATTTTAACTTGACTTTGTTTTTATAACTGTTTATATAATTATAAAAATAGTAAATCGCATTTAGTTAAAGTAAACAAAAAAAAATAAATAATGGAATTAATTATTTATGTGATCTCCACATTTTTGTACATCCTCAAACAGTTTGTTTGGGTGACTGCCACGATGCCGTATGTTGTGCTGCTGATTCTGTTGATTCGTGGGTGTATGTTGGAGGGCTCCATGAAGGGAATTATATACTATCTGACCCCTGTTTGGAGTGACATTGCTAAAAAAGAGGTAGATACTGAGTATTTAAATCTAGGTCATTACATAATTAAGTTCAGTAATAGCTTACCACTTGTAAATGTGATCAATATTATGCTATTATGTCTACTGAATGGTTAAGTATGGTATGTTTTATTTTGGCTAGGTCTGGATCGCCGCTGCAGCACAGATCTTCTTTTCCCTAGGCCCTGGGTTTGGAGTTTTACTGGCTCTCTCCAGTTACAACCGACTCAACAATAACTGTTACAAGTATTGTAAAAAATTATAATAAGAGATATAAAATACCAGACTCTAATTCTATTCTTCTCAGTCTACAATAAATTGCGTCCAAAGTGCTGATCATTCGTTTCTTACCAGTCTTGCAAGTTTCTTTTTCCATTTTTTTTCTCTTTCCATCTGGTCAAATTGATAAAAACTAGATGTAAAAATGATTAAATGACCCATATTTGTCACAGGGTCACGGTCTTTTTTGATGAATTGTAACAGATCTGATTCGTCTCAATATGGAATTTTATTAGAAATATAACGAAAACCTCGAAAATAGAAAAACACACTCATATTAATTATACAAAACAATACACATAGACATACACAAAACAGTTAGAAAAGGACTTAACTGGCAATCCTATGAAATTTTATTAGGTCACTTGAGTCACTCAAGTGACCTATTGCATTTTCAGCTTCTTCTCAGAAACCGCTCAACCAGTTTTAACCAATTTTGGCGCAAGTATTTATGGGTGAAGGGGAACAGAAGTTGTGAATTTCATGGTCCCCTGCCCACCATGGGCCTGAGGGGTGGGGCCAAAACCACTAAAATTAATGCAGTCTTTAAGAATTTTCTTCTTTATGCCTGGACATCAAGCTTTCAAACTGATTGTAATCAGCATTGAGTTCTCTACCAAAATTGTGAAATTCATTACCCAAGGGTAAGGGGTTCTAGTGCTAAGGTGAGCTAAATAGATTATATAGTGAAAATGCATTATTTCAAAAAAAATCTTTTTCTCTGCTCCTGGACATTAGATAAACTAACCAAGTACATAGTCATGTTAAATAAACCTGCCTCTATAAAATTGTGAATTTCATGGCCCCAGGGTCAGGGGTACTTAGGAGATAGAGCGGGGCTATATAGATTATACATACTAGTATACAAAGTTATGATGAGGAAGGATTCTCTTTCAGATTTTTGAATTTCAGGTCCCGAGGGGCAGGTTTTTCTTGTGTTAGGGAGGGAGGACGGGACTGTAATGATTATGATTCTTTGAAAATCTTTTCCTTTGCTCCTGGGTATTATACCAATGATATGAGTACATATACTGAAAGGAAAAAGAAACGCAGGGTAACATTATATGCGAAAATTTTTTGACTGCATGACCAAAAATTACGAAAATTGGTCAGATGAGAACCTTGGTTACTATGCACTTAAATCAGTGTTCAGAATTACTCAACCGTAAAATGTATGACGACACGTCGGCAAATTGCTCTAAAGTCCAAAACACGTGCAACTTCAACGATCTTCCTATACCATTTGATGCTCTTGGGGTATACACATTGATTTTCAGTATTTGTAGACGAAATGCATTTCTTGCAACTTGTAACAGTTCACGGGAGTTCAATGGGGTCTGACTTTTACGTTGCCTAAGTAGGTTATCATAATCATTACATTTACATTCACCATAAAACTGATAGAAACCAATTGCACGATTTGGATTTTTGAGCTGGTCAACTTTACGTTGATGTTCCTTTCACTGGCGCATGCGCGCACCGTTTGCAAATTTTTTTCGGCGTGTGTACTTCCGGCCCATTATAGCCTGGGTTTATTAAGACTTCCTAGCAAACAATCACATTTAACTACTCAACAGGTCTCCGAAAAATCTTTTGCTCTTAAATATCTGTGGAACTGAGTGGAAGATAGGGTTCGAAATGCCGGAGATGGCCCCTTTCAAAAAAGGGCTATCTTGTTGAAAAAATGAAAAATATCCCTATTTGTAAGATAAAGATACTAATGAACTCCACGCAAAGGAGAAACAAGACTTTGACAAAAACGTGAAGGAGACATTGAAGAAAATAAGAATTTTAAATTTTCAATGTTTTGGAGGTATCGTCATATCAGTTTCAATAACTTACGAATTATGATGCAAAGTCAAATGGAAATTTGGTTACATTTTTATTAAAGATGATTATAAAAGTTAGGTAGGAATACTAGAAAAAACGTAAGGAAAAATAAAATTATTTCACCTCAAAAGTTCACCCTGCATTTCTTTTTCCTTTCAGTGTATTTATGAGGAAGAAAGATGCCTCTTCCAAAATGGTTTATTTCAGGGCCCCTGGGTCATTGTATTTGGGGGGTGGGGCAGGGGGGAGTTACATGGTCTGAAAATAAATTAATGCTCTAAAATCTGCTCTTTGGTATTAATCAAGAATTTATGATGAAATGAAATTTTAAGAGAAAATTTCCAAAATTTTGAAATATGTGGCCCCAGGGTCAGTGGTTCCTGTGTGGTGGTTATAAAGTTTAAATGCATTTTATCTTTGTTACTCTGATCTACCTCTGAGTATTATGTAACCAAAATAAGCATGCTAAGTGTATAGTTATGATAAGTGATGGTGCTTCTTTCAAAATTGTGAATTTCAAGGTCTCTGGTTTAAAACATGAACCAAATTCGATTGTTGAAAAGTTGTTTTATGATACCTAGCTGACCTATAAGGCCCGTGGGCCTCTTGGTTGAAATGGATTTTTTCTTTAGTTGTATTTCAAGAGTGATTTGTAAACGTCTGTAAGTTTCTGGAGTTTTAACTTCAAAAATAGCAGCCATTGCCATGAAACTACAGCTGGGTCATTTATTCCTTTAAAACCTACCGAGAGTATTACTCTGATTTCAAATCAAGTATTTGTCTGTCCCACTTAGATTTCTGCATTTTCCATACATATTTGCGGATATTGGACTGATTTTTGTTATATGTGTTATTGATGAGCTTAGATAAATTTTGTATTTCGTTGCGCCTCGAAGATTTTGACGATGTTATTGCTTTTAAAAAAATACGGAGAATCAAATTTCCCCCTGCAGTTGTTTTTCGTGAAAAGCATAAATATAGAGCTGATTTTATTTTTGTCTTTTTTTAGTATTCGAGTTAGCATTTCTTTTTCTGCTTCAATGATTTTTTAAATAGAAATGTGCCTTAAAAAATTCAAGAGGATCAAGATTGAACTTCCCGCTCAGCAGTACTCTAAGAATGTTTGTTTTATTAGAAAACTAAATACCCACATGTTAATCAAACTGAAAAATTGTTTAAAATTAATACAAAAGATGTGAATAATCTACGTCTATGAGTACTTCCATGATTATCTTATTTTCAATATTTAGGGATGCCTTAATAACAAGTTCCATCAACTGCTTCACCAGTTTTTTCGCCGGCTTTGCTGTGTTCACTGTTCTTGGTCATATGGCTACAGTTCAAGGAAAAGATGTTCGAGATGTCGCAAGAGATGGTAAACATTTATCAATCTGATTATTATACAGTTATGTTCCTTATTCATCAAGAAGGAGTCAAGGAATTGATAATTGTTTGTTAAGTACATGTACTGCGGATGAAAATAAATAATATGTTGAGACTTGATGCCGACATCATTTCATTTACCCTTTTTTTAATTTAAAGATTTAAAAAAATGTCCAGATTACTAGTACACGTAGTAATAACTGTGTTATCCCTTCGAGGCATGGCAACAAATTTAGTGAAAAAGTAGTGTTTGTATAGATTATACTGTGGAATTATCATTGTATGTAGATTTCTTGGGTAACCTTAACATGTACCCGCGAATTTACAACCCTATCTACATTAACTGGTAAACATCTTGATTCAATGAATCTGCCTTATAAACTAGGATCGCAAAACCCACTAACTCTGCCACTACTCTAATTCCGTCACTTTCGGGAAACTGCACGCTGTTTGTAAACCAATGCAATTTGACTTAAACTACGAAAAACGTTGTCTTTAATACGTCAGTATATTGTAGAGGGTCCAGCTGATTGAGTTAGGGTATGTTGGACGAAATGACACTGGCGTGATACACGTTCTATTTAGTGGGGTTATACTGCACTTGTTTGTTAATATCACTAAAACCAATATTCAAGTTTATTACTATGTCTAGCAAACCAACAAGAAACAAATCAAAATATTGATTTAAGAGAAACTCGTAGACTATCGGGATGTTTTCCGCTTATGACGACGGAGTTTGAGTACTCAAAGATAACCTACAAAATTACATCCCCACTTTTGGATGGGGAACATTGACCTCCACAAATTAAAATGATATCACCGTAAGGAGCAAGAGGCACAAAGGCCGTAACGGTCACCTGTGTATATTGTATCACAAGGATCCATAGACTGAATTAAAATAAAAAAAAAACATGAAATAAATACCTAGTTAATTTATCTAGTGTACCTTGTATTAAAGCGTTTGTCGTGATTAGTAATCATTCTGTGTACTGGCCAAGATAGTGAGTTGTAGGTGTCCTGTGAGGCGGGGGTCGTATAGATACCCAGTGAAAGTTACTCATAAACCAGATTTACCAATGTTATCTAGTAAATCTACCCTTTCAATATCTATTTTAATCTACTTTTGAGACAGTGATTCTATGGACAGTAAATTTACTAGTCTTCCTGGTGTCTTTTGCTAGTTATTTTTTGAGTGAATTAGCTGATAAATTTGCACATAAGGAAATGAAATGGGATTAATACCCCCATCAAAAGAAATCCTGGCCCAGAAGTCAAGCATCTTTGCTTATCATTACTCGTACACTAACAGGTCATCTTTCAATCACCAAGGAGTAAAACCCCAAAATGAACCCCAGACTCTGAGGTCACAAATTTCACAAGTTTGGATCATAACCGTGCATTTTGTCTATTTGTTAACAATATTGTTTAACAATTAACGGTTGTTTATGACTTTGATTAAAAGTAAAATGTCAAAAGTAATTTGTAAAAAAAGACAATACATTTTTACCATTTGATTATGCAGATTGTACAGTAATTTACTATATTTTGTGTTTATTTAGATGTTGGACTTATTTTCATTGTCTATCCAGAAGCAATATCCACTCTGAAGATTTCACCACTATGGGCAATGTTATTCTTTTTAATGTTCATAACACTAGGCCTAGATACAACAGTGAGTTTTTTAAAGTATTTTTTCATCTGTAATTATCATGTAGTATAAATCATATTTTGTTTTTCTTTTCTAATTTCTCTATTAACCAGAATTTGTAATTGCTGCAGTGGAAATTGTAAAAATATTCAAATTAAAATGTACTACAGTTTGGTGGATTAGAAGCCATATGCACGGGAATTTTGGACGAATGGCCAATTTTACGGAAACATAGAAAACTGTTTGTTTTGTTTTTGATGATGTATTGTTTTATTGGGGCCCTGGCTACAACAACTTATGTAAGTACCAAATGAGTGGAGGTTATTGTTTTAAAATTACATTGTTTTAAAATTTTTCTGCTTTATGTTTGATATTTTTCATTCCAAATGACACGCACTTGCATGCATGGGGCCACAATAGGAAATCATTTTTTTTACATTGAAATATAAAGAAAACAAGATGTGTTTGTGAAACATTGATGCCTCCGTATTGCAGCATATGGCGAGAGTTGAAGTTTCTCAAATACAAGTCAAACTCCAAAGGTCAAGGTCAAAATTATTGGTACCCAAAGGAAGGTCTTGTTACAAGGAATACGTTTGTGAAATATGAAAGCCTTATTTCTAACTGTTCGAAAGTTAAGACCAAAGATAAAGTTTTTAAAAAAATCAAAAATCAAAATATTTACACTTTCTGAAAGTTCTTGTCACATTAAATACACATGTGAAGTATGAAAGCCCTAGCACCAACAGTTCGGAAGTTATGGCCAAGGTTAAAGTTAGGTTTTTTTTTTTTAGAAAGTGGGTCTAACTCAAAGGTCATTGTCAAGAGGTCAAATTTGATGGTACCCAAAGAAAGGTCGTGTCACAAGGAATACACCTGTGAAATATGAAAGCCATAGCCCCACCTACTCAAAAGTGAAGAGCAAAGTTCAAGTTTTTGCGGACAAACAGACAGACGAACGGACAGGGCAAAACTATATACTCCCGAAACTTCGATTACGATTCATTTATTTTTTTCTCTGAAAAAATAATGGTCAAGAAGAACTGACATTTATGTGAAAGCTTTCTAAGGAAGTGTACGTAGATTCTAAATTGTTCAAATAAAGGCCCGGGGTAGGATGGGACCACAATAGGGATTCAAAATTTTTCATTTAAGAAAATTCTTTTACAACTTTCTCAAGAAACACTGGTCACGAAAAGCCTAATTCAACTTCCTGTTTATCCGTGCATCTGCCTGTGCCAAATTTTCGTCCCAGTTTTCTCATCAACTACTCATTGCTGATGCTTGAAATCTTAGCACTCTTTGTCTAAGCATGCCATATGATGGGATTAATTTTTGTGCAAATCTAATGTCAACTTCCTATTTATCTGTATGTCTGCATTTATCAAATTTCCTTTGCAGTTTAAATTTTAGAACTCTTTGTCTAGGCTTGCCGTATGGTGGAAATCATTTTTGTATGTGTATATTCACTTGAGAGTGAAAATTAATATGCGGAGCGGGGGCATTACTTCTAAGCATTTGCTCACAGCCTTCTTGTTTCTTTTTTGTTTGACTTCTTGACCTTGGAGTGTGGCCCATTTTTGTAAGAAATTATTAAACATTAACCTTGGCAAAAAACTTTAGAACAGTTGGAGCTAGGGCTTGTAATAATTCGCTATATATTCCTTGTGACAAAACCTTTTTAATGGATATAAATATTTTTGACCTTTAACTTTGACCTTTTGGTTTTTAAACACACTTTTTAAAAAACTAACCTTAGGCAAAACGTTTGAAAAGTTAGACTAGGGCCTTCATATGAAACAGATAACACATTCCTTGTGACAAGGCCTTCCTTTTGATACCAAGAATGTTGACATCGACATTTAATTTTGACCTACATTTGAAGAAAAAACTTAAACCTAATGTTTTAATATTTTACACGTTTTTTTCCTTATGACAAGGTCTTCACTTGTGTCTTTCACAGGAAGAAACAAGACCTTTCAGTTAAAACTTACAGGCAGCTTTCATTGACTTTTCAGTGGTCATTCAGTCACTGAATGGCACATACATTTCAGTGACCTTTCAGTTGCCTTTCAGTCATATTTCAGGTACCTTTTAGTCACCATTCAGCGGACACATATCAGTTATCTTTCAGTGACCTTTCCGTCGTTTTTCAGTGACCTTTCCATCACCTTTAAGTGACTTTTTTGTTATTGGATACCAACAACTTTGACCTTTTGACCTTGGAGATTGACCTACTTTTAAAAAACGTTAACCTTGGTCATTAACTTTTGAACGGTAAGGACTAGGGCTTTCATACTTCACATATGTAATCCTTGTGATAAGACCTTTCATTGGATACCAACAAATTTTACCTTTTGACCTTGACCATGGAGATGAGATTGAACTACTTTTAAATAAACTTTAACCTTTGCCATAACTTTTGAACGGTAAGGGCTAGGGCTTTCATATTTCGCATATGTGATCCTTGTGACAAGACCTTTCATTAGAAACCAACAACTTCGACACTTTGACCTTGGTGTTTGACCTACTCTTTACCAACATTAACCTTGGCAATGACTTTTGAAAGGTTAGGACTAAGGCTTTTTTACTTCCCATATATAATCTTTGTGACAAGGCCTTTCTTCAGAAACCAATATTCTTGACGCTTTGACCTTGATCCCAGAGTTTGACTTACCTTAAAAAATGTTAACATGGACCATAAATTTTGAACAGGTGGTGCTAGGGATTGTATTGCACATGCATTTGTATTTTTTGTGAGAAGACCCTACTTTAGATATCAACATGTTTGATTGGCATTTGAGAAAATTTAACCTTCGATATGTTGCCATACGGGGACATCAGTGTTTCACAAACATATCTTGTTTTTTTTAAAGATTTAAAACTTCAACCTTGGCCGTAACATTTCAATGTTTAATGTTTTAGCTTTCAAATTTCACAGGCATATTTTGAAATATTTATTAATTGAGACACGTCCTTTCTTTGGATAACAACATGTTTCATTAACAACCATTCCCTATTTTGAACCCACTTACTAGTAATTCCTGTGAGTCATGTTTGAACAAATATGAATCTTCTTTTTGTAATGAAGCTTTTAAATAATTTACTTTTCTTTGGCTTAGTTTACTTGAGATGATTATTAAAAACACACATGGCAGACGTACGCCGAACTTTTTTTTCGATCAGAAAAGCTCAATTTGAGTGTCCGGCTTAGAAGAGGTAAAAATTGTAGCGGGTGATATTGTTTTGTGAGGTCGCTCACAGTAAATCTGGTTTACATGTACTTACTGCAGTCTTAGGATTTATTGATCATTGTTAATTACCGCAATATCTTAGCTTCATTTTATGATGCTTTTAGGAAGATGTCCAGTGCAAAAAAAAAACAAAAAACAAAACAAAACAAAAAAAAACAACAAAAAACAAACAAACAAACAAACAAACAAAAACAAAAAACACTTCCTACAATTAAAAACATAAATTGTCTGTTTACTGATCAATATAATGAGGCTTTTTTTTTTTTTTAGATCTTCAATAAATTTTATTAAAGCGGCAATACGGCTGCAAATCATGCGCTTTTTCATTCAAATTTACCCAATATATCATTCAGGAATAAGGTAAAAAGTTGAATTAAGCATTTGAGAAAAATAAATATTCCCTCCTCATACAAAATTAACGTAATTAGAATCTGCCGGAAAATCAAGGGTCGTACAACTTAGATCTGTTTATTTGTACCACGTGAATTCTAAAATGGCACGTGCATATAATGTAGGGTTTACAATTATAATGGAATATTAAGTAAAATCAATTCTGAGAATTAAAATATCTTAACTCTCCGGTAAATTAATAATACTTAACATATTAGTCTGCATTCAGACGAATTTAACATGATTAAGTACAAATGTTGACGTTTTGTGTACTGGGGTGCAGGAAAGGAAAATCCACCAAATCATACGTCATCGCGGCAAAATGTCAAACATAATACCTTTCTGTAGTTCTAATACAATTTGCACTTCAAATGGCAATAAATTTTATATGTCATAAGTGCATTTTAACGTTGAGTTTACACTGATTTTCTTTCTTTGAAAGCCATGGAGATACGAGAAATGATAGCATGTATCAACAAACCTGTAGGGTAGAACCTTCGCGAGCCTCACGTGAATGTCACCGAGAACCCGTATTTTCTTCATCCAATGATTATATTAATCTCCCAACTAAAATTTTTGTCAGCAAAGTTGCTTTTTAATTTCAAGCCCTATTTTTAGGTCACCTGAGTAAACTCAGGTGACCTATTGCTATCCGTTTTCGTCCGTCGTCGTGCGTCGTGTGTTGTGTATTGTGTGTCGTGCGTCGTGTGTTGGCATTTGAACATTTTCAGCTTCTTCTCTGCAACCAATGAACCAATTTCAACCAAATTTGGCACAAAGCATCTAGTAAAGGGGAACAAAAATTATGAATTTCATGATCCCTGCCCCCCTTGGGCCTGAGGGGTGGGGCCAAAACCACTAAAATTAATGCAATCTTTAAAAATCTTCTTCTTTACTCCTGGACATCAAGCAGTCAAACTGTTTGCATGATTGTAATCAGCATTGAGTCCTCCACCAAAATTGTGAAATTCATGGCCCTGGGGTCAGGGGTTCTAGTGCTAGGGCGGGGCTAAATAAGTATATAGTGAAAATGCATTATTTCTTTGAAAATCTTCTTCTGTGCTCCTGGGTATTGAATAAACCAACTAAGTACATAGTTATGATGAGAATGAGTGCCTCTACCAAAATTGTGAATTTTATGGCCCTAGGGTCAAGGGTTCTGGTGTTGGGGGGGGGGGGCTCTAGTAAATATACATGAATTCTTTGAAAATCTTCTTCTCTGCTCCTAGGTATTAAATAAACTAACTAAGTGCATAGTTATGATGAGCAAGAGTGCCTCTACCAAAATTGTGAATTTTATGGCCCCAGGGTCAAGGGTTCTGGTGTTAAGGGGGGGGGCTCTTTTGATTATATAGTGAAAATACATGAATTCTTTAAAAATCTTCTTCTCTGCTCCTAGGTATTAAATAAATAACTAAGTGCATAGTTATGATGAGCAAGAGTGCCTCAACCAAACTTGTGAATTTTATGGCCCTAGGGTCAAGGGTTCTGGTGTTGGGGGGGGGGGGGGGGGGGGGCTCTATTGATTATATAGTGAAGATACCAAAATTGTGAATTTTATGGTCCCAGGGTCAGGGGCTCTGGTGTTAGGGCAGGGCTCGTTTGATTATATATTGAAAATACATGAATTCTTTGAAAATCTTCTTCTCTGCTCCTAGGAATTAAATAAACTAACTAAGTACACCGTTATGATGAGCAAGAATGCCTCTTCTAAAATTTTCAATTTCATGGCCCCAGGGTCAGGGGTTCTGGTGTTAGGGCGGGGCTCTATTGATTATATAGTGAAAATGCATTAAGGTCAGACGACACGTTCCTCAAAAATATATAATTTTTCCTAAGAATTTGTCAATGAAGTAGAGGTACTTAAATACGTTTCCTCACAAAAAATTAGGGAACCTTACCAGGCATTTGGACAAGATACGACGGGGTCATATTTCTTATATAACCCTCATGGGTAATCTCTTGAATGGCCTTTATCATAATTTTTGGTGTACTTATATCTAAAAACATTTTGAAAACAATGTAGAAATCAGAAGAGAGTGGCAAATATAAATGATAAATGATATAATACCAAAAGAAACAGGACGTTTATTTGAGGAACGTGTCGTCTGACCTTAAATCTTTGAAAATTTTCTTCTCTGTCTCTGGGTATGAAGCAGATGAACTACCTATATAGTTATGATGAGCAAGGGCCCTAATCTTGCAGAATTGTGAATTTCAAGGCCCCAGGGTCAGGGTTGGGGGGGGGGGAGGTGCTATACTTATATACTGAAAATGAATTAATTGTTTGAAATCTGCTCCTTTGTATTTATAAAACATTTATTTATTTTTGATAGGCAATTTTAAGGGTGCCTTTTTAAAATTTGTGCAATGTGTGGAACTAGGGTCAGGGGTTTTTGTCACAGTGTTAGGAGCACTACTGTTTATTGCTGAATATTACTGATTAGTTGGAATGCATTTTTGTTCCCCTACCCTGCGTATGGGTATTCAGTAACCAAGCTAAGCATCTGCTAAGTGTAAAGTTATGATGTTCAATGGTGCCTCTTTCAAAATTGTGAATGCCATATAGCATCTGGCTTAAAACATGAATCAAATTCAATAACTGGAAAGTTGTTGCATAATGCTCAGGTGACCTATAAGGCCCGTGGGCCTCTTTTTGGTTTTGTTTTTCGTTTTTGTCGACTTTGTCAATGTAGCAGATCTACCGGGCTTCCCTCTCTTACCATGCTGTTTTGTTTATGAAAACTGTACGCATGCTCGATAGCATGGAATGTGGAACCTCGAACACGTTGGGATGTATATATTTATGGACCATAAATAATTATTAATTTTAATGAAATAATCAGAATTATTTACTTATGAAATATGTAATTTTCTGAAAGTGTATACATTTATAAGTATGAAAAAAATTCCAAATCCTATAGGAAAATTTTAACAAGTCTGTTTTTGAAGAGATGCGCCGTATTGTCACTTTAATGATTCAGAGATATATACAAACCTTTTAGCTTCGTTTTCAAAAACATGCAATTTAAATTGAAAGTATTGCAAACTTGATCTCATACTCAGAAATGGGGTGCCAATTATCATATGTTCAAAGGTTGCTAAGTTTTTTTTAAAAGGAAAGACTCTGGTCTGCATCTATTTATTTGCAGTCTTTCTTTCTTTTTTGTTTTACAGCAAATTAATACTTTTTTTGCAGGGTGGAATTCATGTTGTTCAGCTATTGGATTCTTACGTTGCTCCTATTGCCCTAATATTTGTTGTGTTCTTGGAATCTCTGTCTGTTTCCTGGATATATGGTAAGTGATAAAAATTTTAAATAATGACCTGACATAATTACAATATAAAAAAAAACCCAAAAATAAAAAAAAAAAAGAAAAATAATTTTGAAAAGTTACACTTATTTTTGTTTTTTAAGGCGTTGAAAGGTTCAGTGATGACATCAAGTCCATGCTAGGATTTCGGCCTGGAATCTTCTGGAGACTCTGCTGGAAATTCCTCAGTCCCGCTATACTGCTCGTTTGTATTATTACTGTCCATCATAGTCACATCACTGCTCGTTTGTATTATAACTTGTCCACCATAGCCACATAACTGTTGTCCCGCCCGCTTTCGCGAAAGCGAGGGGACATTAAATCTCATTCGTCTGTCATTCTGTAGTTCTGTCCGTCCGTCACAAAAGCTTTAACCTTGGTCATATCTTTTTAATGAGAAGAGATAGGGCTTTCATATTATATATGTATATTACCTGTGACAAGACCTCTCTCAATACACTATGATTTTTGATTGAGAAGAGATATGGCTTTCATGTTAATATGTTTATTATCTGTGACAAGACCTTTCTAAATACACAATGATTTTTGACCTAGTGATCTTGACCTTGAAGTTTGACCTACTTTTCAAAAATTTTATCATTGCTCATGAGTTTTGAATGAGAAGACACAGGGCTTTATTGCGTGTGACAACACCTTTCTTAATACACTATGATTTTTTACCTTGACCTTGAGGTTTGACCTACTTTTCAAAAACGTTCATTGTTCCTTATAACTTTTGATTAAGAAATGATAGGGCTTTCATATTTGACATGTGCATTTCCTATGACAAGGTATTTCCGAGCATGCTATGATTTCTAACCCCTTGACCTTTGACCTTCACAATTGACCTTATTTTAAAAAAGAATCAACTTAGAAGTTAACCTCTGAATGACATAAGAAAGGGCGTTAATTTTTGATACAATATACCATAAAAAATGACATCTCACCCAAAAAGACACCAAAAGCGGGGAAACCACAATTCTTTGAATTTGCTTATTCAGTAACATATTTTTTCATTATGGTCACTGTTAATTTAAAAGAAATAAATCTAGATGCCTTTTATTAAAAAAATAATAAGTTGATAAGTGAGGTATCATCCCAAAATGTTAAAAAAAAATGAATGATTGATTGTATATTGTTTCACGTCCCTCTCGAGAATTTTTCACTCAAATGGAGACGCCACCACTTGCCGGTGGAGAGCTGCAAATTTTGTCCTTTACTCGGCACTCAGGGCAATTGAGCAGGGAGGGATCTCTTTCGTACCAGCACCTACTGCGACATGGGACCTCGGTTTATACGGTCTCATCCGAAGGACCAGTCTCCACGTCCCACAGTGGGATTCGAACCCGCCACGTAAGGATTGACTTCTTACTTCGCGACTCTAGAGCAGATGCTTTAACCACTGCGCCACGCGGGCGACCCAAACTTTAATGAAAAACTGTTTAAATTGGGAGGAACTTTTAAAGAGCGAAAATAGTAATAATACCAGAACTTGCGTCATATCTACCGTATATCCATTTTTTCTCGATGTTCTATTTTTCGGGTTTCTGCAATCATTTTTAATTCGCAAAATATAAAAGACGCAGAAATTATGTCAGCTATAATGTGGCATAAAAACATAAACATTTATTTTTTAAAAATCTTCAATCGTAAAAAACAACTTACGCAAAATAAAAACTGCACAAATCTACCCCTATTTCGCAAAATTTCCAACACGCGAAAAAAAAGGGTAAACGGTATATTCCTCAACATGCATGCCCTATAAATGTACATTTCCGTCGTCCGTCCGTCCGTCTGTCCGTCTGTCTGTCCGTCTGTCTGTCCGTCCGTCTGTATCAAGTTGGTACAAAGCATTCTTGGGTAAAGGGGAATTTAAATTGTTAAAATGAAGGGACATATCCCTTACTAGTATCAGATTGTCAAATATAGTAAATATTTTACTTTCATATTTAGAATATTTATGCTTCACTTTAGGACCATTTAATAATTTTTGACATCAGATAATGATATTTTTTATACATCTTTTGCAGTTCCTCTTCATTATGTCTCTGATTGGTCACGAACCCCAACCGTATGCGAAGTATTCTTATCCAGCCTGGGCCATTTCCATCGGATGGCTAATAGTGATGTCGTCGTTAATATTCATCCCTGGATATTTTGTATATAAACTCATCATTACTCCTGGTACCTTTCTGGAAGTAAGATATTTTTATCATGTTGGAATTGTTTTGTTTTTTTTTTTTGTTTGTTTGTTTGCTTTGTATTTCATTACAGGAACTATACAGTAGTGTCGATTATATTTTTGATGAGTGATATGAGTACCTTAAGGATATATTTGGGGATGTATGTCAAATAAAAATGATCCCTTGCGTTTGAAGTAAGAATATGAATATAATGATTTGATGTTGTCTCGATCGACATAGGTTTAAATAATGAATTGATTTCCCCAAACTATCCGCCTCCAATATTTGTGTTGAGAAACAATTCTGGCAAACTTGTTTATATATACAGTATTAGTTTCAAACAATTGTAGTATTTTACTGGTTAAAGAGTCAATCCTTATCTGATAACAAAATTCAAATGGGATGTAATTGGAGTACCTACATAATCTCAAATTAAACATATATATATTAGTAATGAAGGGTCTGCTTTTCCCCTACTATTTCTTATTGTTAAAATCTAAATCATTTTTAAGATAAAAGTCACATTCAGATCAAAATGAAAGTAGTGCCATTCGGTAATTTCAAATATCTTCTTTTCCATGATAATTTTAATTATGAAAGACAATAAACAAAGATTTAACAGAATGACACGTGCAAAAGTAAGAGGAACACTCCTTGTATAGTTATTTAGTTTTAGTCGTACGGAACCCTTGAATTTTCTGGTCGAGTAATCCAGATACTTCCAGTATTTGTGGAATAGAAAGTATCAATGGTTCCTACTGCTCACCAGTCCACGTAATCTCCTCTGAATTCTTTCAAAGCATTCATGTGTGAATTGTGATGGCGCATGAACTTTCTCACGTCAAATCACATACAATCGACACTGATCACATCAGTACACACATCATTTCAATGAAATGTTGACAGAATCACTTGTAAAATGTTTTTCCGCGATTTTTTTCCCTCATGCTGTCTAATTTTACTGGCGTCAGGGGTGATCCGGGCCCCCGCGTCTGACGAGTCACGGACATTCGCCGAGAAGGCATACGTGACCCGAACATCTGCTGTACTAACATAGGATCGGGTCTTAGTGGAATCGGGGTTTGATTTTCCCAAAACATGCAGCGATCTTTTAAGTACTCAAGTCCTTTCTTTGATTTTTCAAATATTTCTTTTCCTAATCCAGAGCTTTCTGATGAATCTGATAAAGGAGAGAAACGTTTTCAAAGTCAAACAGAATAAAACTATTACTATTTGAGTATTATACATGTACATTATCATGCATTTTCCAAAGAGGTGCTCTAAAGATATAGAAAATTTTAAAATCAATCATACTTTTGCAATTAGAGCATTGAAATATAACTAATTTTTTAGTCAAGTACATGTATATATCAAACAATATAAAAAAGAAAATAGTCCGTATACGACAAACTACAGCTGTAGATTGCAGCAAAGCACGAGTGCCATGCCAGCTTTGTCGTGTTTATTCCGATATCAATTTCTAAACATTTTTAAACATATATTGAAATTTGTCATCGAAAAAATAACAATATAATTGTATAATAGTATACAAGATTTAATCTTTAGCAGCGTTTTAGCTTCTTTACGTTTACTTACTGACAATATATTCCAAATACTGCTTGTCTGTGTAAAGTTCTCCGAGTAGTTTCTTGGTCTTTTTCTCGGTATTCCTTCTCGTAAAGTCTTTCTCATTTTCATCCAGTATTGATCGTTGATAGGTGGTCAGAGTACGAGTGCTGTGCCAGCTTTGGCGTGACCTTGGCTTGACAAAGGTGGGTTGTCGCGTCAGCAGTTTGCTGGGCGACACCTTCTTTTGGGAATCTATTTCGGGGAGTGAGAGGTACTCCCGGCCAGGAAGGGAAACAGTGTCCCTATCCTTGGTGGCCCGGACTCGGAAGTCTTGCACTATATCAAAAATTCGACCCGTTTTTCTGCGGAGGTGGGGATGCTTTAAGGTGATGTCTAAGTGTCCATATATGGTAGGGAGGGTAAGGGGTTTCTTAGAATCTGATTTATCGTTAGACATTTCCTAACGATAACAGATAGAAAATCCCTTCATTGTTAAATGTTTCTTCTCCTATTTCTCTCCTACATTTTGGCATCGCTGATTTCAGGTTAATCTACAGTCAAAACAAAAAGGTTAACCGGTTGATTTACGAGTAAATCCCGTTGCTATACAAAGATTTCCATATATCGCAAAATCCAAATTTTTATATGAAAGGATATCCTCCTTCTAGATATAGTGTATGAATTTTTAGTCCTAATGAATGTTAGATCAACGTCCGTAGATTATGGACAAATTAATAAAGTTGGCAATTTGTTAAAAAACATACAAACAACCAATGCGACTTACCCTTACATGTTATTTAATCACATCCATCCCATTGATTTTGGTGTTTGTACCTTTGGCATGCAAAGCAACACGAAACACGAACAGATTGAGTTAACACTGGCTACAATTCTTTTTCTACATTACCGAGGTTTCTAAAAGGAAACGTAAGTATCATTTGGATGGACCGATGGAAGACATGAGCAATTATTTCAGCAATTTTCCCACCTTGTACCTCTTTACAGACGCAATATAAAAAAAATACATAAGCGGGATTATCTTGGTATCGAAGATTAATCCATAAACCACCTTTAATCTGTCGGGAATTCTTTTAATTAAATACACATTGAAATATACCCTAAACAAATGTGCCGCGAGAAGGAACATAATTAGGGATGACCAAAAAATATCTCGTGGTATCGATATATCACCTATTACATAATTTCAATAGTAATATTCTGCATTTCGGGTAGCTTTATACTGTTCCTTTTCAAAGGTAATTTAAGAATACATGTATATCTAAAGCTTTCATTTGACGTTCAAAATAACAAGATGAGGATTTTAATTTTAAATCATTGAAATGAAAATCCCTTTTCTATCCTTTCCCTATTCAATATTCGTGTAAAAGAACTATCTTGCACAATAACAGCCCCTTTAATTTATTTCCAAAATATTTCCTTTTATTTAGTTGTTGCAATTGTTTATAGGCAACGCACCAGTTACATGTATGAAGATACACCACGGAAATTTTATAAATAGTAAAACTCGGATATAGAAAGAATGTCTTACACTAGTGTAGTACAGTACTGTAGCACCAGAACATCGAGTTTAACAACATCAAATACAACACCATTCTATAACTTGGCATGGCTTATCTTTTTTTTTCATAATTAGGGATTCTCGCAAAAGCAATACATGTAAACGTCATATGAATAGAGTCGGATTTTCTTCTAGATCTTTTTGATACGTGAACTGTAAACTGACTTTAACAAAGTCCCATAATTCTATTTTGAATCTACTTTTTAGACGTTGTACATCAACATCAATGCAAGATACCTTTAAATTGCTTTTAGTGTAAAGTTGTTTTTTTTTTCAAATCCGTTTTTTTTTCTTTCAGAGACTGAGAACGGTCTTTATCCCGACAGAAGTCCCGGACCATGGATACACTGAACCAGTACCCGTCTAATTCATTAATTTTATGCACAATTTAAATTACTACATATTAAGCGGTGACCCGTTTTATCAGTGGGTTTAGGAGTGAGACAAGCGCCGTCATAACAAAAATTCAACAACAACAACAACAAAAAAAACAAACAAAAAAAAAAGAAAAAAAAAAAAAAAAAAAAAAAGCAATTTAAAAATACACGTGTGCATGTCATTGAAAAAAGCATTTTATTTTCACTCATGTCAAATATTTACTTTTTTGCAAAAGTAAAACATTTCTTTTATTTCATGTTTATTTTTTCTAAATTTTATATTGAATTCGTTAAAATTACAAGATAAAGTTTACTTTTTATCTCACCAGAGCTGACAGTTCAAATGAACTTCTGTTTTTACCATCTTTTTTTCAATCCAGTTCAATAGTTTATTCTCTAAAACTGCACTACACTATACAGAAGATACAAATATGAAATATGTACAATACAATGTAATACAGCATGCATGAGGAAATTAAAACAAACGATGAAAGATGACAGTGTCATAAATCAATAACAAACTCAAACCCAAATAAATTTGCATAGTTTAACTAGTTGATTTTTACTGTTTTAAATTAAATAATTGTTTGGACTCAAAACTTTAGGATTTTTATAATAAACATTAACCTGGAAGGTAACTCTCTTATTAACTATATTAACGAATTTACAAAAGTTATTGATAACGAATACTTTTTACATGGATATAAATTTGAAAACTTGAAAGCACTTGGTCGAATTGTTGATGGAATTAACAATTTTCTACTATCGTTTAGAGCTGGACACGACATAATATAATGGAATTCGTCTCCAGTATCATTATTGCATAAAGTACATAGTCTTTGATTTGTGGGTATTTTTCTCCATCGGCCTATTTCTATTGGTAATTTATGACTACTGATTCTAAATCTTGCTAATGTAATTATAGTATTACTATCTTATTTTTCCGTGCGTGCGTCCGTCTCTTTCAATTTCATTATTTTCATCTTCTGAAGAACAAATGAACCATTTCAAATAAATATGCCAAAAAGCAAAATTGGATAAAGGGGATTTAATTTTTTTTGACGTCCTCTTTTAAGGGGATAAATTTTAAAATTGGTGAGATTAGTGATATTATGGTGATCATTTATAAATTTCAGGAATAACTGAGTTTTAAAAATAGCGTAGATTCAAATTTTATCAAATCGTGGCCCTTGGCAATAGGGTGGGGCCGTAATAGGGGATCCATGTTTTGCATCGGATTCTTTAAAAAAAAATATTCTTTAAAAAAAGTCTACAATCAGCAAGGCAGTGATTTGTCATAATCTTGAGAAAACATTTGCAGATATGTAATGCAGAAACGATCTTGTTCAAATCATGGTCCACGGAGGTAAGAAATGGGCACAATAAAAGATCAAAGTTGAATATTGTAATGCGGTAATACTATAAAAGATCTGATGAAGAAGAACTGTAGAGTCATCTCATTATTTGTCACAGTAATGTGGATGTACCCCCAGGTGCTGTTGAGTGCATTCTGTTCTGTTGGCCCCAGGGTCGATTGTGCACCAGTAGGGGATCAGTTTTTAAATGGCGTTATATGGGAAAAAATCTTTCAGTATCTTTTGAAGTGCCACAGCGACATAAATAGGGATAAACTGGATTCACCAGATCTGTCTTTATGACTCTTTTTGAAGAGAAAAAGTAGTATAGAACTTTAACACGTTTTTTTCTTTACGATGTCACTGTACAGAAAGAGTGTGACAGAATTAAGTGAAATTCTTGTGAGGACATAACTTAATAGGCTAATATTTTCCATAAAAGTTACTGGACAGGATTGTATCTGAACTTTACACGGAATTCATTTTGTACTACGCCATACGTAACATGAAAGCCTTTTTTAACTACTTAAGTCAAAGGTCTGTAGACATTCTGGGTCATTTTATAGATCACGCAAGGCCACAAAAATAGTTATTGTCAAATTCTAAACGAACGTAATAAAAAATCATGGAAGTTTCGATGGCCATATTATTAGCTCACCTGAGCCGAAGGCTCAAGTGAGCTTTTCTGATCAAAATTTGTCCGTTGTCTGTCGTTGTCGTTGTTGTTGTCGTTGTTGTCGTAAACTTTTCACATTTTCATCTTCTTCTCAAGAACCACTGGGCCGATTTCAACCAAACTTGGCACAAAGTATCCTTGGGTGAAGGGGATTCAAGTTTGTTCAAACGAAGGGCCACACCCTTTTCCAAGGGGAGATAATCATAAATTTGTTAAAAATTAATGCATTTTTAAAAAATCTTCTTCTCCAGAACCGATGGACCAGGAAAGATGAAACTCATGTGGAATCATCCTCAGGTAGTGTAGATTCAAGTTTGTTCAAATCATGACCCCCGGGGCAAGGGTGGGGCCAAAATGGCCGACCCAAGTTTTACATAGGAATATATAGGAAAAATCTTTAAAAATCTTCTTCTCCAGAACCACTGGGCCAGGAAAGATTAAACTCATGTGGAATCATCCTCAGATAGTGCAGATTCAAGTTTGTTCAAATCATGACCCCCGGGGCAAGGGTGGGCCAAAATGGCTGACCCAAGTTTTACATAGGAATATATAAGAAAAATCTTTAAAATTCTTCTTCTCCAGAACCACTGGGCCAGGAAAGATGAAACTCATGTGGAATCATCCTCACGTAGTGTAGATTCAAGTTGTTCAAATCATGACCCCTGGGGCAAGGGCGGGCCAAAATGGCCGACCCAAATTTTACATAGGAATATATAGGAAAAATCTTTAAAAATCTTCTTCTCCAGAACCACTGGGCCAGGAAAGATGAAACTCATGTGGAATCATCCTCAGGTAGTGTAGATTCAAGTTTGTTCAAATCATGACCCCCGGGGCAAGGGTGGGGCCAAAATGGCCGACCCAAATTTTACATAGGAATATAAAGGAAAAATCTTTAAAAATCTTCTTCTCCAGAACCCACTGGGCCAGGAAAGATGAAACTCATGTGGAATCATCCTCAGGTAGTGTAGATTCAAGTTTGTTCAAATCATGACCCCCGGGGCAAGGGTGGGGCCAAGATGGCCGACCCTAGTTTTACATAGGAATATATAGGAAAAATCTTTAAAAATCTTCTTCTCCAGAACCACTGGGCCAGGAAAGATGAAACTGATGTGGAATCATCCTCAGGTAGTGTAGATTCAAGTTTGTTCAAATCATGACCCCCGGGGCAAGGGTGGGGCCAAAATGGCCGACCCAAATTTTACATAGGAATATAAAGGAAAAATCTTTAAAAATCTTCTTCTCCAGAACCCACTGGGCCAGGAAAGATGAAACTCATGTGGAATCATCCTCAGGTTGTGTAGATTCAAGTTTGTTCAAATCATGACCCCCGGGGCAAGGGTGGGGCCAAGATGGCCGACCCTAGTTTTACATAGGAATATATAGGAAAAATCTTTAAAAATCTTCTTCTCCAGAACCACTGGGCCAGGAAAGATGAAACTGATGTGGAATCATCCTCAGGTAGTGTAGATTTAATTTTGTTCAAATCATGACCCCCGGGGCAAGGGTGGGGCCAAAATGGCCGACCCAAGTTTTACATAGGAATATATAGGAAATATCTTTAAAAATCCTTCTGAAGATCCACTGGGCCAGGAAAGATTAAACTCATATGGAATCATCCTCAGGTAGTGTAGATTCAAGTTTGTTCAAATCATGACCCCCGTGGCTAGGGTGGGGCCAAAATGGCCGACCCAAGTTTCACATAGGGATATATAGGTAACCCTTTTAAAATCTTTTTAAGTACTTCAAAGCTATGATTAGTGATATTTATATGGAATCATCCTCAGGTAGTGTAGATTCTAGTTTGTTCAAATGATGAACGCCTGGAGGGGGGGGGGGAGTAAATTCAAGCCCGATGTGCTCAGGTGAGCGCTGTGGCCCCTGGGCCTCTTGTTTATATAATAATCACAAGGACTGCTGACACCTGATGTGTTACAACCTTCAAACAGATATACCTACATAAGGGTTTTAGGAAGTCAGCTGATTTTTTTTTATTCAAAAAGCTTTTTAAGTTTTCCAATAAGAGAAGTCTTGTTAAGAAGTTCTTATATATGGTTGTCTTTTTTGAATGGATATCAATCATTTGTGTCCAAAACCAAAAATACGTAATTTTTAGATCAAGTACGTTGTTTAAAACATTGGGAATATGAAGAAAACGGGAAACATAACTTAAGTTCTCTGTGCTTAACATCTACAAAATACCAAACGCTTTGTAGAGTAAAGACTAAGACCCAAGACCAAACAGAAAGGAAGTGGGGAAGAATTTTTAACACGAGCCAAGAAATATTTTAAATGATGTAATTCAAAATCAAAATATACAGAAATGTATTTTATTATACATGTAACGATGTTTCATTAGGAGGAAGAGACAAATATTTCCAGTTTCAATGAAAACTGGGCTACTGATAACTGTTGATATATGTTATTATTATAGTGTGATAGACTTATATTCATTTATACTAATTGTCATATATATAATATGTATAACGTATTTACCTTTATATATATACTTTAGTCTTTTGTATAAATGCATTATATTTGTCATGTGTGTTATATATGTTCATATACATTAATGTAGTTGATTCTAATAAATAACGAACCTTGCAATATTATTTTTGGTCAGCATTGTCAGATGAAGAATTTAAGAAGAAGTTTTACGTCTAATTATGTAATCATAATTAAAAAAAGCACTTCATAAAAGAATTAGGTAATATAAATTGTGAGAATAATTATAGTATGAGGCGCCGTTTTGGTACATGTATTTATTGTTACTCACTGATATCACCTATCAGTGACGTACGTAGCATCGTTATTAAAAGGGGTGGGCACCAGAGAGAAAAAATCAGCTTACCTAAAAAACTTGACAAAAGAATAAAATATACATAAAAAATACATAAAAAGAGGACACTTGTACAAATTTGAATTCGAGTTCATTGTGTTTACGGGTACAAGTAAATTCGGCACCTGGTGAATTCGACACTCATAGAAAAAGTGAATTCGGCACCTAGAAACTCAGCACCTAGTGAACTCGGCATCAGAATCTGGTTAATTTGGCTTTTTTTAAAATATATAAATCGGCAGATGTGTTATTACTTGTATATTTATTATATCTTAATTAAATTGTTGAAACAAATATTTAAGGATATCCGCTCCCCAGCCAGGAACAATGATTATGAAATTGCTATATGTATTTAACTGAATGGTTTACTTAATAAACTGAGCTTAACAAAATTTTTAGAAAAGTGAGGTCAAGTTTAATAGCTATAACATGAGTATGTATAAGCATTTGAATTTTTATTACACTATCTTAAATAGTTGATGCAGTTGAATAGCTTACTTCACTGTGCATCAAGTTTGTTTACAATATCTTGAATGGTTTCTTTAAATCTGAACTAAACACTCATTTAAGAAATGTGAGGCAAGAACCAAAGAAAAGGCAAGGTAAAAAATGTTGGGATTTTTATAACTTACTTTACCCAATGAATACCACATCATTCTTGAAATAAAAAATGTTTTCAATGTTAAACTTTCAAATTGGTTCCCTAATGTATCCCCGCCCTTCCCCCGAGGGTCATGACTTGAAAATTTTAGAGTCTTTACTACACCATGATGCTTCCACATAAGTTCCAGCTTTTCTGGCCCAGTGGTTCTCGAGGTGAAGATTTTTTTAATGACTCCACCCTATTTTTGTCTTTTCTTGATTATCCCCCCTTGGAAGAGGGCTTGGCACTTCATTTTAACAATTTAAGCTCCCCTTTATCCAAGGATGCTTTGTACCAAGTTTGGTTAAAAATGGCCCAGTGGTTCTTGAGAAGAAATTAAAAATGTGAAAAGTTTGCAGACGGACAGACAGAAAGACAGACAGACAACGGGTGATTAGAAAAGATCACATAAGCTTTTAGCTATCGTGAGCTAAAAACTTTTCTTAGAAAAGTTTTGTTTACACGTTTTCATAGATATCAAAAATGAGAACCCCTCTTTTATATACTAATAGGTATCTGAAACTATGGGCTTTCTGCAGTGCTACGTTCGCCATCTCCTTTGGATTCCCTATTGTGACACCCCATCACCATTTTAACAATTTAGAAACTAGTACTGTCCAATAGGGATGAATACCCCGTTTTTTTTCAGAGAAGGTGCCAATTCACAAATATTTTATGGATCTAAGAGGCGTTCACAATTTTCTTATCAAAACTTATAGTGAAAATATAATTGATCATTATATTTTTAATGAATGAAACTAAGCTTCAATCAAATACAAGAGGCTCATGGGCCACATCGCTCACCCGAGTAGCTTTGACCATGCTGTTCTTTACCAAATTCCCCCCTTGTAATACATATTGTGTCCCAACCCTACCACATTGTTTAATTTGGACACTTTAAAATCTACACTACACACGGATGCTTCCACATAAGTTTCAGCTTTTCTGGCCTAGTAGTTCCTGTGAAGAAGATTTTTAAAGTATTTTCCTATATTTTTTCCTATATTTTTCAATTCAAATCTTGTGTTCCCTATTGTGGTCTTGCCCTACCCCCAGGGGTCATAATTTGCACAATTTAGAATTTACACTACCTCAGGATGCTTCCACATAAGTTTCAGCTTTTCTGGCCCAGTACTTCCTGAGAAGAAATTTTTAAAAAGCTTTTCCCACATATTTCTATGTAAAAATTTGATTCCTTATTGTGGCCCAGCCCTACTCCCGGGGGTCATGATTTGAACAATTTAGAATCTACATTACCTCAGAATGCTTTCACATAAGTTTCAGCTAATCTGGCAAAGTGGTTCTTGAGAAGAAAATTTTTTATTGACCCCACCCTATTTTTGTCTTTTCTTGATTATCTCCCTTGTGAAGGGACTTGGCCCTTGATTTTAACAATTTAAACTCCCCTTTACCCAAGAATACTTTGTACCAAGTTTGGTAAGAATTGGCTCAGTAGTTCTTGAGAAGTCGAAAATATGAAAAGTTCACAGACGGAGGGACAGCTAGACAGACGGACGAACGACGGACAAAATGTGATCAGAAAAGCTCACTTGAGCCTTCGGCTCAGGTGAGCTAAAAACATAAGTTCTAATACATTGTAATTCCATTGTAACAATTTCATTATTTCATTGAAAAAATAAATTGCAACTATTTGTCACGACATTCTGTTAATTGATTGTTGAAAAAAAGCATATTATACAAAATCAAATTAATCTTGATAACTTTAAACCGAATTCATTTTAAAAATAAAAAGCTGTTCATTCAGTAATTAAGTGTTTTGGCAGACAATGAATTACAATTAAGAGAATAGAGATCTTTAATTCTTTGCCAATTCCCAGGAGATTTAGTTAAGACATGCTTGATCAGAGATGCCTTAACAACTTCCAACACCAAACTCATCAATTTATCTTTATCTGGATGCATATCCACTCAAAGGGACAAATGATTTTACTCTACTAGTATCTTCTGTGTAACGTAAAATATGTTTTTAACACTTGATGTTTCTTTTTTTTCCCAGTTTTAATGAGTAGTTTTAAGCTGTAGTTCACATCTTTGAATAGATGTCCTAGATTCTATGTCTTAAACCTAACACATTAACCAAAGATGACCAAGTCAATAAAAATGAAAAAATAACACCTGTAAAATGCAGAAAAATTATCAAATATTATCATATAAAGTTGAAAATACCGGTGCACACCTTCATTTAGTGAATAAGAAATGTACAAATTTTCACACAAATCCTTGCAATAGTTTCCAAGAAACAGTCTGGAAAAAAATACAAAATACCAAGGCCCATGGGCCTTATAGGTCACCCGAGTATCATGCAACAACTTTCCAACGGTTGAATTTGGTTCATGTTTTAAACCGGAGGCCATGAAATTAACAATTTTGAATGAGGAACCATTGCTTATCATAACTATACACTTAGCATGCTTGCTTTGGTTACTTTTAAATACCCAGAGGTAGATCAGAGTAACAAAGAGAAAATGCATTTCCACTTTATTAATAGTTGTGCACCCCACAGGAACCACACATTTCAAAAAGACATCTTCACTATATATAAATGGTTGATTAATACCAAAGAGCAGATTTCAAAGCATTAATTTATTTTCAGAATATGTAACCCCCTCCCCTCCCCCCAAGTATCCCTGACTCAATGATCCTGAAATTAATCATTTTGGAAAGGTGCTTTCTCCGTCATAAATATGTACTTAGATCATTCATATAATACCCAGGACTTTCAAAGAATTCATGCATACATAATCATTAGAGTCCTGCCCTAATATAAGAACCCCTGATCCAAGGGCCATGAAATTCACAAATTTGTGAGGGGTATCCTACCTCATCATAACAATTTAATTGGTTTTATACTGAGGAGCAGAGGATAAATTTTTAAAGAATTAGTGTATTTTCACTATATAATCTATAGAGCTCTGCCCTAACACCAGAATCCCTGACCCAGGGGCCATGGAATTAACAATTTTGGAAGAAGCACTCTTGCTTATCACATTTAGTTAGTTAATTTATTACCCAGGAGCAGAAAAGATTTTCAAAGAATTAATGTACATATATGTATTTTCACAATATAATCAATAGAATCCCCTCCCCCCTTACACCAGAACCCATGAACCAGGGGCCATGAATTTCAAAATTTGTAAGAGGCACTCTTGCTCATCATAACTAGTGTTAGTTTATTTTATACCTAAGTTTAGAGAAGATGATTTTCAAAGAATATATTTTCACTATATAATCAAAAGAACCCATGACCCACCGGCCATGAATTTCATTAATTTGAAAAAGGCACAGTCACTCATCATAACTATATAATTAGTGATTTTGTTTTATACCAAGGAGCAGAGAAGAATATTTTCAAAGAATCAATGCATTTTCACTATAAAATAAATTGAGCCCCGCCCTAACACCAGAACCCCTGACCCTGGATCCATGAATTTCACAATTTTTGATGAGGCATTCTTGTTTATCATAACTATGTATTTAATTAGTTTTTAATACCCAGGAGCAGAGAATATTTTCAAAGAAATAATGTCTTTCAATATATGATCTATATACTTTGTCCTAACACCAGAACCCCTGGCACTGGAGCCATGAATTTCACAATTTTGGTAGAGGGCTCACTCCTTATTACAATCATGCCAATAGTTTGACTGTCTTGAAGTCCAGGAGTGAAGATTTTAAAAGATTGCATTAATTTTGGTGCTTTCAGCCCCACCCCTCAGGCACCAGGAGGTGGGGGCAGGGACCCTGAAATTCACAATTTTGTTCCCCTTCACCCATAGATGCTATATGCCAAAACCGACTTAAACTGGTTGTGTGGTTGCAGAGAAAAAAATAAATGTTCAAATGTTATCACACAATGAATGCCGACAGGACAAAAACGGTTAGCAATAGGTCACCTGAGTGACTCAGGTGACCTAAAATGAAAAAAATAACCACCTGTATATGCAGAACAAGATGCCCACGGGTCTTATAAGTCACCTGAGTATCATTTAACAACTTTCCAACAATTGAATTTGGTTTTTGTTTTAAACCAGAAGCCATGAAATTCACAATTTTGAAAGAGGCACCATTGCTTATCATAATTATGAACTTTGCATCCTTACTCTA